AGGCACAGCGTCTACCCGGAGGTTTATTGCGTAATCCCCCTCCCGATGAGGTGGTAATTCGGTCGCCTGCGTTTTGGAAAATGTGTGCGCCAAATCGAGGTATTCGGGGGGAATGCGCACAGTGGAGGTAGTGTCTGGACTCACCCCGTGAGAACCCTCTGCGGCCATGAAAAGGTGGGGTTGTTTAGTGCTAACCAGGGAAGACCTAACACAACAGGGAAATCAGGAGACTCAATAATAATAAAAAAGTGACTTGCTCTCGATGAATCTCGTGCGTAACCATAGTGACTGATGCTGTAAATTGCCTAACGAACCCGGACCCTAATGGTCGACTGTCAAGTGCTCTGATGGGGAGTGGAATGGATAGGGGAACCAATGTAATGCCTAGACTATGTGCAAATGACCTGTCCATAAAGTTCACTTCTGCGCCTGAATCGACCAGCGCCTTACACTGGGGAACTACTGTGTAATCAGGAAAGTGGATGTGTAGGGTACAGTGCGCAGCAGAGGGCTTGAACGAGTGTGGGTGTTCGATACCTGGGGTGACGTGAGAGTGCCCTGCCTGCCGCCTCCAGATCCAAAAGAACGCAGAAGACAGTGTGCAGGAGAATGTCCTCTCGCGCCATGAGAGTGACACTGGCGCTGTCGTCCTCTGCTCTCCCGGATCGCTGCTCCACCAAGCTCCATCATCTCGTGATCCGGGTTGGGGGGTGGTGGAATGGGCAAGCCCCTTCCAGGACATCCTTTAGCAGCCAGCAGGTTGTCCAACCGGATGGCCATGTCCACCAGTTGATTGAAGGACAACATGGTGTCCCGGCAGGCTGGCTCACTTTGGACGTCTTCTCGTAGATGGCACCAGAAGTGGTCGATGAGGGCCCGCTCGTTCCACCCGGACCCAGCCGCTAGAGTCCGAAACTCTAGGGCGAAGTCCACCGAGCTAATCGAACCTCCACAATAAACAATCACACACAAAGACAAGGGGGCAGAGGGAACACTTATACAGGTACTGATGAGGGGATATGAACCAGGTGTGTGTAATAAACAAGACAAAACTAATGGAATGATGAGATGAGAAGCGGAGCGGACGGTGACGACGAACGCCGAAGCCTGCCCGAACAAGGAGAGGAGGCAGCCTCGGAGGAAGTCGTGACAGTAAGAACATATTTTATAATTTAGCTAGTCATGTTGTTAATAGAACACTCTTTCAAATTATGAGATGTCGTTATCAACAGTACAGTTAATGTAAAATGCACATAAAATCAACAGTGTAATGTTTGGATTTAGTCTTGTGTCAGGTGAACTGTTGTGTCCTCACCTTTAGTCTAATAATTTTCCCATAATCTCCAAACTGTTCCCTTTTATTGCTACCATGGTTAAGCATGTGCTTTCCATATGTCTTCTGCAAGAAACATTTCATTGTAGCCCATCCATAGAAGACAATTCCCATGAGTGTAAGGGGTTAATGAGAATATTTTTTTATCAGTATTTTAAAGTCAAACAGGCCTGCTATTGCATCGGCCTGGTCGCTCTTGAAAAATCGATTCTTTAAAGGGGCAATCAGCAGATGCTACATCCATTTTTGGACTTATTATTATTATTATTAATGATATGTACCCATTTATTCTTGAATAATATAATTTATAAATGCCTCATGAACTTAGTTAAACTGTCGTACCCCATCAGAACCCAAAATATAAGCTTGTTTTACCCAATGTTTGTAAAGACAGAAAATGTAAACAAACACTATATAGCCTCAAAACATGGTTAAACCTATAATTGTAATATCATGGATGGTCAGTCCTTGCATTCATAGCTCTGTCTATGGATTCCAGAGTGATTACAGTTCTCCAGCCCCATCCTTCAGCTTTTTACTGAACCAGGGGCGGGGAGGCAACTTTGTTATTGTTTGCCGCTTTAACATCAGATGCTCTACTTTGTAAGAGATATAAATCATTTTGAACATATTGTCATATTGAGAAGTGCCATTTGTACACATCCATTCAAGGCAGGTGGAGTATTCAGTCAGGATAAAAATGGATAGGGTTACCTGTTATGGTCAACTTCCACTCCATTGTCCATAAACCCTTCAGATCTGTTATGATAAATCTGTAGATCCCAGCTCTACATCAGTGATCCTCAACTCTGTAGGCATAACAAGGTCAACATTCATCATGTCTGAGGTGAAGTTCCTGAACATTTGATTTAGTGAGAAACTATGAATGAAAAATAATAAGTGTCCTTTTTCCAGAGGATTTGCGTTGAATAATGTGTGCAAATAACAATTTCCCCCACAAAAGCCGATAGCAGATAAGTTGTTTGAACTCCAGCTTAATCAAAAAAAGAAAGCAACGAAAGAAGAAAACAACTGTAAACTGCTATAGCTACTTTACATTTTGTTTAGCAAAAAATGTATATATATACAGTGGGGTCGGAAATTATTGACACCCTTAATAAATATGAGCAAAAATTACTGTATAATTCTATTCTAATTAATGATATTATTTTATACTTATACTTTTTATTCTAATTTCGACACCAAACCCACCACTGGTGTGCGTGGCCAAAGAGCTCTATTTTCATTTCATTTGTCCAAAGCAAATGCCAATGCCGTTTAGCAAACTCCAGGTGTTTACATTTGTTGGATGACATGAAAATAGAGCTCTTTGGCCATGCACACCCCTACCTTCTTGAGAGAAAAAAAATATTACTTGTTAAACAAAATCACTTTCTCTGAGCAATTGTGTTAGTATAAAATAATATAATTTCCCACTTTTTTTTAGCATACAATATAGCTCAGTATTTGAATTATTTATTTTACATTTACATTTACATCATTTAGCATTTCATACAGTCATTATTGCTAATCTTTATCAATAATTTAGGACCGCACTGTATACACAAAACATTAGGAAAACCTGCTCTTTCCATGACATAGACTGACCAGGTGAATTCAGGTGAAAGCTATGATCCCTTTTGATGTCAATTGTTAAATCCACTTCAATCAGTGTAGATGAAGGGGAGGAGACAGGTTAAATAAGGATTTTTAAGCCTTGAGACAATTGAGACATGGATTGTGTACACTACCGGTCAAAAGTTTTAGAACACCTACCCATTCAAGGGTTTTTCTTTATTTTTACTATTTTCTACACATCAAAACTATGAAACAACACATATGGAATCATGTAGTAACCAATAAAAGTGTTAAACAAATCAAAATATATTTTATAATTGAGATTCTTCAAATAGCCACCCTTTGCAGTTCTCATGAGAGCCAGTTTCATCATAGTGCTTGGTGGTTTTTGCGACTGCACTTGAAGAAACTTTCAAAGTTCTTGAAATGTTCCGTATTGACTGACCTTCATGTCTTAAAGTAATAATGGACTGTTGTTAATCTTTGCTTATTTGAACTGTTCTTGCCGTAATATGGACTTGGTATTTTACCAAATAGGGCTATCTTTTGTATACCCCCCTACCTTGTCACAACACAACTGATTGGCTTAAGAAGGAAAGAAATTCGACAAATTAACTTTTAAGAAGGCACACCTGTGAATTGAAATGCATTCCAGGTGACTACCTCCTGAAGCTGGTTGAGAGAATGCCAAGAGTGTGCAAAGCTGCTATCAAGGCAAAGGGTGTCTACTTTGAAGAATCTCAAATATAAAACACTTTTTTGGTTACTACATGATTCCATATGTGTTATTTCATAGTTTTGATGTCTTCACTATTATTCTACAATGTAGAAAATAGTAAAAATAAAGAAAAACCCTTGAATGAGTAGGTGTTCTAAAACTTTTGACCGGTAGTGTATGTGTGCCACTCAGAGGGTGAATGGGCAAGACAGAAGATTTAAGTACCTTTGAACGGTATATGGTAGTAGGTGCCAGGCACAACTGTTTATGTCAAGAACTGCAATTCTGCTGGGTTTTTCACGTTCAACAGTTTCCCGTGTGTATCAAGAATTGTCCACCACCCAAAGGACATCAAGCCAACTTGACACAACTGTGTGAAGCACTGGAGTCAACATGGGCCAGCATCCCTGTGGAACGCTTTCGACACCTTGTAGAGTCCATGCCCTGACGAATTGGGGTTGTTCTGAGGGCAAAAGGGGGGGTGCTACTCAATATTAGGAAGGTGTTCCTAATGTTTGGTATATTCTGTGTATGTAGTGTGTGTGTGTGTGTGTGCACCCAGCGAGCGTGTGTGTTTTACCTGGTAGTAGTATCTGCAGAGTGATGAGAAGTCCAGATGCCCAAAGCTTAATACTATTCATGATCAGAGCAGATAAGAGTGAGGAAGATTAATCAGGTCACTTTGTACTTCAGACCCTACATCCTCTGACATCAAATGTCACACCACAGCTGAGGAAGTTGTAACACACATTTTCATGACCGAGGCTACTCTTCAGGTAACCACTGGTTATCTGGAACACATTGTGGTGAGGTATGACTGCTGAAAACATGTAGTCCTAGGCTATTGTGAGCTAAGAGATACATCTCTGCACTATGCTGTTTGTGTGTGTGTACTACATGCCTTGGTAACTGATGTGATGTGAGCTATGTTCGTGTGATTGACCTTACCTGAGACATGAAAGTTTTAGCTTTTGGGTTTACTCGGTCTTGTGATGTGCAGGCAGCCTGGGTTCAAATTCAATGCTTGTCACTTTTGCCCAATTCTATTGAATTTTTCGCTTCCTAACATGAACCATACCATATTGATACATCAAATCAAATGTTATTTGTCACATGCCGAATACAACAGGTGTAGTAGACCTTAGCCAACTACTAATCACTACTGTATGCAGCATATACTTGTCATGCTACTAATAACAATTATTGTATTTGATCAAATACTAATTAACTGTATAATATAAATATATTTCCAATAGTTTTTTTGATTCAGTCATGCCCCTCCCCTCGGTTTTGGATTATCTCAAAGTTCAGCCCCCTGCGCCAGAAAGGGGCGGGGTTTGTGCAATGAGGTAATCGGAGTAAACAGTAAAGATGGCGACGTCTGGAGCAGGAGAGGGGTGCTCCAGCCTTAACGGGATTGTTTCCGAGACAGAACACAAAATAATGACAGACCTACCGGCCGAATTACTCGAGTACATCTTATGCTGCCCTGTCCTCAAGCATGTCGACATTTGCAACGTTTCCTGCAGCTGCAAGCGGTTACAGGACGTTTGCCACGGCATGGGGAAGGTCTGGGGACACCAGTACAAACTCAGGTGAACTGACATTAGCTTGCTTGCATAATCCCACACTAGCTAGCTAGAGATGTAGCTATCTAATGCTAAATGGCATCTAAATCGCAGTTGCCCCTCTAAAATACGAAATTATGTATATCAGTATAGTCAGCACAGATCCGTCATAGCGAGTTACTGTCGCAAGGGAGCTGTCAAACGGCCGTTGACATTCTGCTGATGCACCAAATTCGACATCACGTAAAGGAATAGCTAGCTAGCTAACGTTATGTATCCAGCCTAGCTAGGTAGCTACTATGTCCAGGGCTTATATAAGAAGCTACTAAAATATATAAGTCACAATTAACCATTTCACAATTCTTGTCTTGCACATTATCGTGCCTCTGAGGACAGACATTAAAGTTGTGTGACCTTGAATGTTGGGAAACAGTGATTGAGGTGCATAGGTCTTTTTTTTTTTGAGTCCCCTGTATGGTCAAAGGTCTGGCAAACCACTGCTGCTTTAGAATCTATTGGAATAATTATTTGCAAGCCAGCCACATGTTACTACATAGTAATTAGGCCTTACAGAAATGTTTAATGTCATTCTGTTTTAGAAAGAAAAGCAATTTTCTTGTCCATTAAAATAACATCAAACAGCGTTGCAAAGAAAAAGCCATATCTCAGACTGACCATCTAAATATTTTATTTTTATTGGCCAGTCTGAGATATGGCTTTTTCTTTGCAACTCTGCCGGTCAGCATCCCGGAGTCGCCTCTTCACTGTTGACGTTGAAACTGGTGTTTTGCGGGTACTATTTAATGAAGCTGCCAGTTGAGGACCTGTGAGGCGTCTGTTTCTCAAACTAGACACTCTAATGTATTTGTCCTCTTGCTCAGTTGTGCACCGGGCCTCCCACTCCTCTTTCTATTCTGGTTAGAGCCAGTTTGCGCTGTTCTGTGAAGGGAGTAGTACACAGCGTTGTACGAGATCTTCAGTTTCTGCAATTTCTCACATGGAATAGCCTTCAGAACAAGAATAGACTGACGAGTTTCAGAAGAAAGTTGTTTCTGGCCATAAAATGTACTTGTTCACCGAACTCAACTCCCTACTAATCTGACACGTACAATGAAATTCACTGTATCTGACTGCAATCTCTTTTCCTACACTCCCCAGATGGCCAAGATTGCAGAAGCATTACCGCCAGAATGAGTGTTGTGATTGGCTGAAAGAATACAGAACGCGACACACTGTTGGTCTACAAATACGACAAACAGTTGTATCCATCTCCAAGAGATTCTTCACGGAAGTTGTAAGTAATGTCATTAGCTGTAAGCTGTCATGGTTATTGTCATTCTGACTTAGCCAGGCTAGTTTGTGGACACTGAAGCAGTATGAACGTGTAAAGGAGTTAGTGACAGTTGTCTCTTGGCCATACTAATCCACCACATCATGGTGTCTGTGATTTAGCTGGCGTGCGCAACTGCGCACGTGATCATGCATGCTTGAGTGTTTGTGTGTGTGTTGCGTGTGTGCGTATCGTATTTACATGTGTGTGTGTGTGTGTGTGTGTGTGTGTGTGTGTGTGTGTGTGTGTGTGTGTGTGTGTGAGGTTGGCTGGCCTGGTTAGCACTAACCCAGAGATCTGTAACGCAGCCTTGCGTTGGCCAGGTGCTGGGGGACAGCTTTGCTGAGATTGAATCCCTCGGGGCCCCTGAGCACTTCTGTGAAGACGAGCTGCTCTCCATACTGAACTCAGATAGGAGGTAAGAGCCATGTCCACACTCCAGTCCAGCACGAAGAACTATCTTTGGTCATTGGTTCTGTTTTATGTGTTAATCCTCCCTGGAGCGTTGTAACAATGGACATAAAATGATTTTTGTTCTCCATCTCTTCTTCTCTTTATCTCTCTCTCATCTCTTCTTCTCTATCTCTCTCTCATCTTCACCTCGCTTGCTCTCTCTCTCTCTCTTGTGCCTTCTCTCTTTCCATCCCTCACACTCTCTCCTCTCTCACCCCACTCTCTCTCCCTCCCTCCCGTAGGAAAAGCCTAACACTGAAGTACTATGCAAAGAAAATCCTTTATTTCCTGCGCCAGCAGAACATTCTGAGGAGTTTAAAGATGTTTCTGGAGCAGCCTGCAGAGCAGCAGTCAGCACTAGAGGGTGAGTCATGGACGTGGTGTACTTAATGTAGTACCTGTGGAGTGGGCCTATTTATACACTGCATTTATATGTATCATACTCTCATGACTTGTATTCATTGTAGGCCTAAATAAAGTAAGGCAGACAGCTGAACATGGGCCTAGCCATACATATAATAATAATGAGTGTTTGGAGAAAAAAAAAACAATGGCCATTTTTCCCTCTGCATTGTGGTTTTTGAAATAATATGATTGCACCACCGTTTGCATTAAAATCCATCGAGAAAGAGTGTTAATAACAAAGTCATAAAGAAATGTAGTGTATAACCAGCTTATAACCACGTGTTTTTACAGTATTATATTGTCTCCTCTCCTGCTGTAGGAGCTGTGCTGGTGGACCAGTATTGTAACCCCCTGGCAGATGTGTCGTTGGACGGTATATCCTCCCAGCTGGAGGAGATCACTGACAAGGTCAAGAAGATGTTGCGGATGAAGAATTCCTCTCATCCAAGCCTGAGGGTCACACAAGGTTGGTCTGAACTGAAGAGCAGGAGAGAAACACATGTTGGAATGTTCTGTCCGTCTCTCAGGAATTAATACAAAGAGCTAATACAAAGCCAGGTGTTGTCAGACCTCAAAAGTAGTCTAATTTTAGTGCATGTCCACAACTCCAGAATCAAAATTTGTTGACAACTATCAAAGTTCACTATTATCTAACCGAGGAGCTTCTGAGTGTATTACATTGTACCATTGTATTTGACATTAGTACATTCTCAGCACTGTTCTTTGCTAATATACTTAACGGTGTGATCCTTTGTGTTCTGTCTAGGTGACTGCTTTGCTGTGGAGGACTTTGAGCTCCAGAGGCAGGTGGTGGTTGCCCTCAATGCTGTTTTATACGAGCAGCTTCAGTACAAGGGCAACGAGTGTGATTACTACAATCCTCTCAACTCTTACATACACCAGGTAGGTGCTCTCATAGAGAGGCTATAGAGGACTTGGATGATGATTTACATTTTAGTCATTTAGCAGACACTCTTATCCAGAGCGACTTACAGTTAGTGCATTAATCTTAAAATAGCTAGGTGGGACAACCACATATCACAGTCATAGTAAGTACATTTTTCATCAATGAAGTAGCTATCAGCAAAGCCAGAGCTAGTAAAGGGGAAAAAAGTGTTAGTTTACTAAAGGCTTCTTTTCTGGGGGGGTGGGGGTGCGAGGGGGGGTTCTGTGGGAGTATTTAAGATATACTCTTTGAAGACGTAGGGTTTCAGATGTTTTCGGAAAATGGGCAGGGACTCTGCGGTCCTAGCTTCAGTGGGATGTTAGTTCCACTATTGTCGTGCCAGGACAGAGAAGAGTTTGGACTGGGCTGAGCGGGAGCTGCCCTTCCGTAGGGGTGGGAGGGCCAATAGACCAGAGGTGGTAGAACGGAATACTCGGGTTGGGGTGTAGGGTTTGAGCCTGAAGGTAGGGAGGGGCAGTTCCTTTTGCTGCTCCGTAGGCAAGTACCATGGTATTGTAGTGGATGCAAGCTTTGACTGAAAGCCAGTTGAGTGTGCAGAGGAGTAGGGTGACATTGGAGAATTTGGGAAGGTTGACACCAGACGAGGCTGCAGCGTTCTGGATTAGTTGCAGGGGGTTGATGGCACAAGCGTGGAGCCCAGCCAACAGCGAATTGCAGTAGTCCAGACGGGATGTGACAAGTGCCTGGATTAGGACCTGCGCCGCTTCCTGTGTGAAGTAGGGTTGTAGAATAGTGGTCACCATATCCAATTGGTAGTTACAGTCTTGTCCCATCGCTGCAACTCCCGTACGGACCTCGGGAGAGGCGAAGGTCGAGAGCCATGCGTCCTCCGAAACACGACCCTGTCAAGCCGCATTGCTTCTTGACACACTTCTCGCTTAATCCGGAAGCCAGCCACACCAATGTGTCGGAGGAAACACCGTACCACTGGCGACCGTGTCAGCGTGCATGCGCCCGGTCCTCCACAGGAGTCGCTAGAGCGCAATGGGACAAGGACATCCCAGCCGGCCAAACCGTCCACTAACCCGGACGACGCTGGGTCAATTGTGCGTTGCCTCATGGGTCTCCTGGTCGCGGCTGGCTGCGACACAGCCCGGGATCGAACCCGGATCTGTAGTGATGCCTCAAGCACTGCAGTGCCTTAGACCGCTGCGCCACTCGGGAGGCCCCGGGTCACCAACCTTTTCTGAGTCAAGATCACAATCGTAGTCAAAAAGCAAGCCGAGATCTCACGCTCAGAATAATAAAAAATAAAAAAACATTAACCTAATAAAAACAGTAGGCCTAATACATTATCACAGCATATTGACTATATGCCTGGCCTGCCAATATTGTTCTTCTCTCAGACCATATTATATTTCAAAACTTTGATAACAAAATATATCAATTGGTGTAGTAGCACTTGCGAGGCACAGCTGAGCATATACTGAAATAATGTGCTTTTTTATTTTACTGGACTGATGGCACTTTCATGGTGCTTTCAAGACAACTGGGAACTCTGAAAATAAAAAGAGGTCAAATCATGACATCAGTGAACTTCAGGTCGGAAAGTCAGAGCTCTAGAAAGACGCCTGAGTTTCCGAGTTGGATGACCGTTCAAACCGATTTTCCCCAGTCGGATCTCCATTTTTTCAGAGTTCCCAGTTGTCTTGAATGCACTGAAGTCGGAAGTTGGAGTTTTCCGAGTTCCCAGTTGTTTTGAACACGGCATTAGTCTCAGCAGAGGGAGGGAGAGAGTAGCAGAGGGTCCGCCCTCTCCTTCCTTTCCTCCGGTGAGATTGATCAGAGAGAGGGGACACAGTCTTCCACCTGATGGAGAAACTCGAGTCGCACCGTATCTGCCTCAGGCACAAATTCATGTTGTTCCTACTGAAAGTGAAATACTCCTCTATATTAACAGACACGACGAGCTGCTAATAATAATAAAAACGCAGGGCGATCGATACACTTGGCTACTCATTCATTGCAGCTGCAGCACGAGTGGAAGTAGAGAGAAGCGCGTTTTATGTTTTGTAATAGTATTAAATAAAAACAGTGTTGACAGTGCTGAGTAAAACTTAGACATGAACTCACTCATAAAAACAGCAGCTCTTTGCTGAATTTTTGGACAGTCTCTCTCTGGTCATGGTTTTTAAAGTTATGAAATCTCATGTAGGCTAGTATCAAACTTTGCTGTGGCCAGGGTCGTGGAAGCTGTAGGTAGGTACGGTGATTTTAGCTATCTAATTGGCTAGCGCAGTAGGCGCACTCCATTTAGCCACAGATCTCCCAGTCCGCCGGGTAGGCGGAGTTGATATTTTCAGACAAATGAAATGGTTCAAAAACACTTTGCCTACCCGGTGCGCATGGCTTTTGAATCAAGTGCACCTACCACCAACAGGGCTTCTGAATCAAGTGCACCTACCGCCAACAGCGCAAAAAAAAGGGGTGCAAGCCTTTGGGCCTTTATCGTTGGGTTTTCTACAGAAATGTTTGGTGATCGACTAGGAATGCCTTGAAGATCGACCAGTTGGCGACCACTGATTTAGAGCATGAACCTGCAGGAGCGAGTCACTGCTTTGATGTTTGTAGAGAACGACAGGATGTTGTCCAGGGTCACGCCAAGGTTTTTTGCACTCTGGGAGGGGGCACCATGGAGTTGTCAACCGTGATGGAGAGGTCTTGAAGTGGGCAGACTTTCCCCGTGAGGAAGAACAGCTCCGTCTTGTTGAGCTTGAGGTGGTGGGCCGACATCCAAGCTGAGATATCTGCCAGACACGCAGAGATGCTTATCGCCACCTGGGTGTCAGAAGGGGGAAAGGAGAAAAGTAATTGAGTGTCATCCGCATAGCAATGATAGGAGAGACCATGTGAGGATATGATGGAGCCGAGTAACTTGTTGTATAGAGAGAAGAGGAGAGGGCCTAGAACCGAGCCCTGGGGGAGACCGGTAGTGGTAGTACGTGGTTCAGACACAGATCCTCTCCACATCACCTGGTAGAAGCGGCCTGCCAGGTAGGATTCAAGAGTGTACAGAACCTGAGATGCCCAGCGCTGAGAAGGTGGAGAGGAGGATCTGATGTTTCACAGTCAAAGGAAACAGATAGATCTAGCAGGATTAGAACAGAGGAAAGAGTCAGCTTTGGCAGTGTGGAGAGCCTCCGTGACACAGAGAAGAGCAGTCACGGTTGAGTGACCCATCTTGAAGCCTGACTGGTTAGGGTCAAGAACATTGTTCTGAGAGAGATAGCAAGGAAGTTGGTCAGAGACAGCACACTCAAGTGTTTTGGAAAGAAAAGAAAGAAGGGATACCGGTCTGTAGTTTTTGACGTCAGATGGGTCGAGTGTTGGTTTCTTGTGGAGGGGAGCGAATCTGGCCTTTTTGAAGTCAAAGGGTCAGGGAGCGGGCATGTTGTCGGGCGGCCGGACCTCACTAGTCACAGGATTTCATCTGGAGAGAGAGGGGAAGTCAAGGCGTAGGGTAGTTCTTTGTGAGTGGGACCAGGGGACTCAATAGGCTGAGTGAATGAGGAGCATATGTCATCACCCTTCTTTTCAAAGTGGTTGACAAAGTCGTCCGCATAGAGGGAGGAGATGATAGGATAGAAGAGGAGAGGGAGAGAGAGTAGTGGGAGAGAGAGAGCGAAGATTGCGACAGCGCATGTTCATCTGGGTAGGGGCTGAGTGGCTAGGGTTGGAGGAGAGGGAGACAGAAAAGGAAACAAAGTAGTAATCAGAGACCTGGAGTGGGGTTGCCGTGAGATTAGTAGGTGAACAGCCTCTAGTAAAGATGAGGTCAAGTGTATTGCCTGCCTTGTGAGTGGAAGGGGATTGGGAGAGGGTGAGGTCAAAAGAGGCAAGGAGGGGAAAGAAAGAGTTGGAAAGAAATTAATTGAAAACAGACATCGGAAGGTTGAAGTCGCCCAGTACGAAGAGCGGTGAGCCATCGTCAGGAAATCTGCTTATCAAGGTGTCAAGCTCATTGCGGAACTCTCTAAGGGTACCTGGTGGGCGATAGATGACAACAATGTTAAGCTTGAGTGGACAAGTGACAGTGACAGCATGGAATTCAAATGAGGAGATGGACAGGTGAGTGAGGGAGAAAATAGAAAATCTCCACTTAGGAGAAATGAGCAGCCCTGTGCCACCACCGCGACGACTAGATTCTCTCAGACTATGAGAAAAAACGTAGTCAGATGAAGTGAGAGCAGCTGGAAAAGCATGATATGATCCATGTCTCTGTCAGGGCAAAAGGGCAGCATAGGCTGAGATGAACTCGGCGTTCTTGACTACAGATCATCAGTTGAAAAACGCTGTCGGAGACCAGAAATTCCACTGGGTTGTGCACGCAGGGTACATTAAATTAGAAGGGTTGCAGCCAATGGGTGGGGAGCGTCTGTAAAGCCTACACGGAGAGGAGTGAACTGGGATAGAAAAAAAGCACATAGTTGCCAAAGCTACAAAAGAGCAAAATGAGATCATCTGAAAATAACTAGGTAAGATACTCCTGGTTGATGTGTCAACAGTCATCTGCAAATTATGAGCAGTCAGCAGTTCACACACCAAGTAGGCTACTGGGAAGACAGGTAGCACTTAAAGTAGATGGCCTTAGCTAGCAAGAAGACAGTACTAGACAACAACAGATTAAGACAAAAATTATACTTATCACTCCTAGAGATATCAGGAGTCCTCCAGCTAGAGCTATAGATGTTATCCTCGGCCTGTAAGCATATCAGAGTTCCTAGATCAGCACTCTTTTTGAATATGGGCCCTTATCTTTATTATTCAAATAAAGTGAAAGTCTATAGAGTCTATTGATACTGTTATCCTCACATTTTAATGGACAAAGTTTCTCTTTGAACCCTCAAAGTGGCTCTTCCTTACAGTCCCATGTCTTCTATTCTCTACCTAGGTGTTGCTCCGCCGGACAGGCATTCCCATCAGCCTGTCTGTCCTGTACATGACCCTGGCCAGGAAACTGGGGGTTCAGCTGGAGCCCGTCAACTTCCCCAATCACTTCCTGCTTCGCTGGTGCCAGCATCAAAGCGGGTAAGGGCCCGAGTGAGAGAGGAAGTGAATGTAAGGCATATACTTATTTAATGATCAGCCTTTAGTTCAGAACTAGTTCATGATTGGGTGAAATGCACAGATTGCTCTCCCAAAATTGCTGGGTTTCAATGTACCTGATGTAGGATCGTCTGCGTTGCATAACAGAAATCGCCTCAAAGTAACTTATTTGTACTTTTATTGATAAAGCCACACGTCTCATTCCAGGAGTGGGGACATCTATGACTTTGTGTACATTGACGCTTTCGGTAAAGGCAAGCAGCTGACGGCTAAGGAGTGTGAGTACCTCATCGGTCACCAGGTGACTGCAGACTACTACAGTGCCATCAGTACCACAGAAGTGCTGCTAAGGATGGTGGGGAATCTGCTCAACATCGGCAAGCGAGGGTAAGAGTTGTGGACTTAGGGATGTGATTTTTCCTTAACTAATCAATAACTTTTCTGACATCATCTTCTATCTGTACATCCAAAATCTTATTTTTCCTTATTTTCTATGTTGTCCTCAGGATCTCATCCTTGAGGTAATGTTAGGGTTAGAGTTGGTCAAAAATAAATTACTACACTCAACTGTCACCAACTGTCGCTGCTCTGGTATGAAATAACACTGTGTATCACTGTGCTGTGTCATGCAGGGAGGGCAATGAGAAATCCTACCAGCTGCTGAGAGACTCTCTGGATCTCTACCTCACCATCAACCCAGACAACGTCCAATACCTTCTACTACAGGCCAGACTCTACTTCCACCTGGGCATCTGGCCTGAGAAGGTTAGCATGATATCTCAAGATGGCACATCATGAACCCAAGTACACTACCAGTCAAAAGTTTGGACACACCTACTCATTCAAGGGTTTTTCTTTATTTTTTACATTGTAGAATAATAGTGAAGACATCCAAACTAAGAAATAACACAAATGGGATCATGTAGTAACCAAAAAAGTGTTAAACAAATCAAAATATATGAGATGTGTCTGTTACTTGAACTCTGTGTAGCATTTATTTGGGCTGCAATTTCTGAGGCTGGTAACTCTAATGAACTTATCCTCTGCAGCAGAGGTAACTCCGGGTCTTCCATTCCTGTGGTGGTCCTCATAAGAGCCAGTTTCATCATAGCGCTTGATGGTTTTTGTGACTGCACTTGAAGAAACTTTCAAAGGTCTTGAAATTGTCCATATTGACTGACCTTCATGTCTTAAAGTAATGATGGACTGTCATTTCTCTTTGCTTATTTGAGCTGTTCTTTCCATAATATGGACTTGGTCTTTTACCAAATAGGGCTATCTTATGTTTACCCCCCCCCCCATACCTTGTCACAACACAACTGATTGGCTCAAACGTATTAAGAAGGAAAGAAATTCCACAAATTAAGTTTTAAGAAGGCACACCTGTTCATTGAAATGCATTCCAGGTGACTACCTCATGAATCTGGTTGAGAGAATGCCAATAGTGTGCAAAGCTGTCATCAAGGCAAAGGGTGGCTATTTGAAGAATCTCAAATATAAAATATATTTTGATTTGTTTAACACTTTTTTGGTTACTACATGATCCCATATGTGTTATTTCATAGTTTGGATGTCTTCACTATTATTCTACAATGTAGAAAATAGTAAAAAATTAATAAAAACCCTTGAATGAGTAGGTGTGTCCAAACTTTTGACTGGTACTGTCCATGTAATTGGACCATATGCCTTTACCCTGGCTTTGATAATGTTGAACACTTTACCAAAGAGGCAGCACATTTAGAGTTTTTTGTATTGGGCAATCCATTTTTGTTAGAAACAATTTGTCTTCTGTCATTTGGCTATTGTTCTGCCTCTCTAACCTCCAGGACTAGCTGCCTCCACTTTCTTACTACGGTACAGAGCAGAGGACAAGCTTTCCCCAACTGATAATGACTGGTGTCTGCTTGATGTCTCACCCCTTTCCTCTCCCTCCCTCCTCCAGGTCCTAGACATCCTGCAGCACATCCAGGCATTGGACCCGTCCCAGCACGGGGCGGTAGGTTACCTGGTGCAGCACACGCTGGAGCACATCCAGCACAAGAAGCACCCGGTGGAGCCAGAGGTGAAGAGACGCAGCGCCCCCGAGCACGTAGAAGTGCAGTACAGCGTAGGCCTGATCATGAAACACAAGAGGTGCGTCTGAGTTCTGACCAGGCAGTCAGTTACTCTATCCACGTCCTTTCTTATTTTGGTCTTCTTTCCATCTGTCTATACTCCACTACCCCTTTTCGATAAATGCAGAGATTTTTTGGGGGGGAGTATCTATTGTGATTAATAACCAGTAGTGTGCGCCATTCCCATGAGTTTAAGTTGATGTCTAGTATTGCCCTGTATTGTGACTCTGATGTTTGTATTGATAAAGCCCATGTGTTACACTGTACCCAATCTCTCTGACACTGAGTGGCTGCCCCCCTCCCTGCCAGGTCTGGCTATAACTGTGTGATCTATGGTTGGGACCCCAAGTGCACCATGAGCCAGGAGTGGATCACCACGATGGGGGTCCATCAGCTGTCCAGCGGGGCCAACCAGCCCTTCTACAACGTCTTAGTGCAGGACGGCACCTGTCGTTACGCTGCCCAGGGTACGTCTCCTCTAGACACACTAACATACTGTACATGTCACTGACAGACAATCTCAATGTGTCAGGGCAGTGGGACTTTGTTAAGAAGGCACTCTAAGATGTAAGAAACTTGACAAATGTAGTACTTGAAATGCTTATTGAAGAGTTATACATGCTGGATGAGTAGAATACCTGTCTGCTAAGGTGTAGGCCTATATGTTTTTACATTGACACACAGAATATGCAGCTATCTTGTACAGCAGTGGTTCCCAACTTTTTTCGGTTACTGTTCCATCACTCAATTTTGCTCTGCTCTGAGTACCCCTGAAGTACCCCCTCATGTGCATTTTACCAGTAGGCCTATGGTCTCATGAGTCTTCTCAAGTACCCCCTGTGGATAGGCCAAGTACCCGCAGTGATCCTAGTACCCCTGTTTGGGAACCACTGTTGTACAGTAATAATATAATAATAATAATAATAATATGCCATTTAGCAGACGCTTTTATCCAAAGCGACTTACAGTCATGCGTGCATACATTTTTGTGTATGGGTGGTCCCGGGGATCGAACCCACTACCTTGGCGTTACAAGCGCCGTGCTCTACCAGCTGAGCTACAGAGGACCAGTAACTTGCCTCCACTCAGTTTAAGATTTGATGTCACATGATACGATACTTAGGTTTTTTCTGTAAGTCTCTTTCCGCCTCTTTCTCCCGTCTCCCAGAAAACCTGGAGCCTCATTCTGCTCCTCTGGAGATCGCCCACCCAGAGGTGGGCCGCTACTTCTCCGAGTTCCATGAAAGCCACTACGTTGCCAACGAGGAGTTGGAGACACGCTACCCAGAGGACATGGCAGAAACCCTGGGCACCGTACGGGACCTCTACCACAGACTGACGTCCTCCTCAGGGCAGGCCTCAGGGCAACAGGAGAACCCTAACGGCCGTGGGGGCTCCTCCCAGGACCAGAAGAGCCAGGAGAACCAGGACACCATGCCCATGTAGCTTAGCGTCCACTACTTCTCGGCCCCGTCCAAAACAACCCCTAGCCCGTACCACCTAGGCACTTGTGTAGATCTGAAAGGATTGGATGGGTATAAACAATATGGCAGAATTACAACTAGCCTGTCATAGGGCAGAGTGGAGCTACTACTAGACCCTACAGTAGGGATAGATTCAGCCGCGGGACGATTTTTTTCTTGAGTGGATGGTCGGGGAGCCGGAACATAATTACAAATAATTTGTAGACTGCAAATTGACCGCAAGAAGCCCAAACGGATATAATATTTGACTAAAACATAATCATTTCAAACCCTATCTTACATTTGTATACGATCATATGTCTCTCTATTATGCGTGGGGAACTTATTTCCCAAATTAAAATCACTTGGAGCTGATTTCCTGGAGTTTTTACAGTCTTTTATGTCCAACAATGAAAATGGTAAAAAAAAAACAAATAGAAATATATATATATATTTGGTTGCTCAGAAGGTTTTATTTGGGGGGCCAAATAAAACCACCTGCGGGTTTTGGGGAACCCTGGGCTAGGGGTTGTTTCTAGATGTGGAGCCCCCTCTCTTCCCCATCCAACTCCTTTACTTGACAACGTCCTGTCCAGAACCATCAGGGCCCCTGTTCTCAAAGCATCTCAGAGTAGGAGTGCTGATCTAGGATCAGGTCATCGCTGTCAGTATTATATTATTCACTATGTTCTAAAAGGCTAAACTGATCCTAGATCAGCACTGAATGCGGCCCCTGGAATGCTTCAGTACCTGGATCATGTGCTGTACCTCCGCCTGCCAACCAACGCCAGTAAAAGCAAAGACCCCTTTTCTCTCTCCACCTTCATCCACCTTCAAGAAGACTTACCGAGCTTGTCTCCCTTACTCTCGCTCTCCATCTCAATCTACTTTCTTCACCTTCAGTCAAGTTCTTCCCAGACCTGACTCCCTAGGCCATCTCCCTCTCTCTTCTACCTCCAAATGAAACACTATCAAAATGAACGTTACAGTATGAAACAATATGAAAATGAACATTACAGTTACAGTATCTCTATCCATCGTCACATTACGTTATAATAATGATTCATGCACTTATGAAAGGATGACTTTCGAATTTCTAGAACATGTTATAAATTTTTTTCTGTATATTTACAAGTAAAACATTGTAGGACTTTTAAGGGCTCACGGATGAGTGTTGAGCTGTGTAAAAAGGAAACCACTAGGACTACAATGACTTGAAACAGGAATGAGTGGTGAGACTGGAGGAAATGAAATAATAATAATAAAAAATGTTTCAAGGTTTCTTTTGGTCTTTCTACAGTGTTATTTACAACAAACTGTATGATCTCTTCAATAGCATACTAAAGAATATACATTATAGTAGCCTGTGTATTTTTAGACAAAGTAATGTTCTGATGAAATGCAAATGTTGCTGCAGTTGCTATTAATGACTGTTGGTTCATGTTCCAAATGTATTTAGGCACAATTCATTGAATTCATTCTACATTCACTTCTGGACAAATGCGTATCAAGCTTGTTCAGGACCTTGGTAATCCCAGAAGTAAAATCTATTGGTCAACTACACGCAGAATCTGTCCACTGGAGATTAGGACCTTGGGGATAACAGCTAACAGCTAAGCGTCCCTCCTGACGGACCATAATAAAGAGTGCATGTGTTACTAACTTCCTTATGACAGCAGAAAGCAGAGGGAATAGCTAGTTGGTAGGGAGGACAGTACAGTAGGAGCGCAAAAGTCCACACAGCTCGTAGATTCACCTGCGGCAAAGATCGTAGTGCGCTCCTGAAATAATTTCAATGCGCAAGTGTCGCTCTTTTGGGAATAACCGCTATGGGAGCCTCGCAGTCTGTGCGCACTGAACATGAGTTCCAAGATCTGGCTGATCGAACTGGATGTAAGTAGCCTGGGCTGTAATATGCTCAAACTAGGAGTGTTATTACACAGTTTCTATTTGATTATTATCAAATGCACACAAAAAAACTAAATTGATCTTGTGTCAGGAAAATAAATAGCCTATCCTTAGATGAAGGGACAAATAGCATAAATGCCTCATAATTTCATAGTTCAAACTGGAATTATGAATTGCTTAGTCACATTACTTTGTAGCGAGTTTTTTTAAGAGCAGAGAATAAGACTGTATTCCAACTGTTTTCACATGAATAGACAGTAGTTGGATTGTTCTTCTGTCATTCCATTGAAAATCTGAGGGCGGTAGGCTACTCCTTCCAAAAAGCTTTTTAAGGACAGAGGGACAACTGTTTATTTAACCAGTTGAATAGAATGTTATGCTACTTGCCAATATGGTACCATGTAACGTGAATAACCTATGATTTGAGTATACAGCCTACTCTACTGATAGTGAGAAGAAGAAAAGTGTCATTTGTGATGATTTACAGTGCAATATTACACTGTCAATTATGTAACTCAAATACATTGACAGTCAAACAAATATCACACTACTTTTGGAAGTGACAAGGGTCAAAACAAACGTTTTTAAAAAGTGGGTTATTTACTATCTTATGATGGGATAATGTTGCTCACAGATTTGGTCTGTTGCAGCAACATTTGTTGTGCTTGGAACATTGATCTGTTCATTTTCATCAGCTGGCTTCTGTTATAAATGGGAGAACTGTGCTTTCTCCTCCCTCAGAGTAGAAGGGTGAGAGACATCAATCAAGACATAAAACAATACTCTTGATTTCCAATGTTAAACATAAAATTATGTTTAGAGTGTAATAACCGTGTAACTTAATACAGCATGTTAGTTATGCAGTGTGAGAACTCCTAAAGTAAGATAATGGTGAAGAAACTTGTCTTGCATTATGCAGCTGAATGGTATGCAGGTATTTGAAGTGACGTTTATAACCATGTCTTCCCTGAGTGCTGTTTCCTTGCCGTTTGTGGGGAACCTTGTGTGTTTCAGTGATCCTGAAAGCTATACAGGTGTGGTTTCGGCCCCAGGAAGGTTTAACCATGCTGGGCAGGTTCCAGGTGAGAGGCCAGACAAAACACAGCACCTGGCCCTCCAGGTTGGGGGTTGGGCGTGGGGCTAACAACCCCACCCAGTAAAATACACCATGTTACAGAACCTGCAACAACTTCCAAAATTCAGGAAACTCTTGCCAATCTGAAGGCACTATGACGGCTTCAGATGAAAGCCATACCCTGGAAATCAGGAGCTCGATGAGGAGTTTTCTAGGGCCCAAAACTACAGTCCGTCTTGGAGTATGGAACGTCTGCACCATGTTTGAAGCTTCAAAAACAGCTGAAGTTATCAGAGAGATAGACAGGTACAATGTGGACATCCTGTGTGTAAGCGAAAGCAGATGGACTGGTTAAGGACGCAAGGAGACAAGTGATGGCTCAACAATTCTCTTCTCAGGAAAGGACGATGCCCACTCCAGTGGTTTAGCTCTCATTGTTAGCAAAACAACTGCCAAATCTCTCTTGGAATGGGAACCCATCAGTGAGCAATATTCAACTCCAAGCACTGCAAGCTCACCATCCTGCAGTGCTATGCCCGCACCAACGAGGCAGAGGACAAGGATGACTGGTATGAGCAGCTACTGCAAGCAGTATCCAATGTCCCCCAATACAATGTGTTCCTGATAACTGGAGAAATTAATGCGAAGGTTGGAGCAGATAACACCGACTATGAGCAGGCCATGGGGCAACACGGCTGTGGGACCGTCAATAACAAAGGTGAAAGGCTTGCCAACTTCTGCCTCAATAACAGCTGTGTGATTGGTGGCAAACTCTTCCCTCACAAAGACATCCATAAATTAACATGAAGATCCCTAGATGGTCACACTGTCAACCAAATCGACCACATCATTGTCAACAAGACTTGCCGAAGGTCTCTATAGGATGTCAAGGTCCACCATGAGGCAGATGTCAACAGCGATCACTACCTGGTCGAAGCTGCGAGCCACACATGCTGTAAAACAAGGGCGGAAAATATTCAACATCAACAAGCTCACATTGCCTGAGATAAAGAAAGCCATTACCATCAAGCAAATAAATCGCTTCAGTTCATTAGCCAAAGCAGTAGATGAAGACCAGAAGGGTATACTACAGATGTAGGATCTTAATTTGAGCCAGTTTGCTACGGCAGGAAAATAATCCTGCAGCAACAGGAAATGTGAATTATTATGTGGATTATAATTAATGGACATTTCTGTAGTGGTTAATATATTTTTCGTAAGGGAAAATCAAGTTTAAAATTTCAAAATGTAAATTACCTCTACGGGATCGGTGTCCCTATACCGGGACGGTTGCTGCTCAATATGTGATATGTGACTAGAATGGCGTTGTTAACAACGGCAAATTTCCGGTACATAGATATGTCTTACAGTGGGGGGGAAAAAGTATTTAGTCAGCCACCAATTGTGCATGTTCTCCCACTTAAAAAGATGAGAGAGGCCTGTAATTTTCATCATAGGTACACGTCAACTATGACAGACAAAATGAGAAAAAAAAATCCAGAAAATCACATTGTAGGATTTGTAATGAATTTATTTACAAATTATGGTGGAAAATAAGTATTTGGTCAATAACAAAAGTTTCTAAATACTTTGTTATATACCCTTTGTTGGCAATGACATAGGTCAAACGTTTTCTGTAAGTCTTCACAAGGTTTTCACACACTGTTGCTGGTATTTTGGCCCATTCCTTCATGCAGATCTCCTCTAGAGCAGTGATGTTTTGGGGCTGTCGCTGGGCAACACAGACTTTCAACTCCCTCCAAAGATTTTCTATGGGGTTGAGATCTGGAGACTGGCTAGGCCACTCCAGGACCTTGAAATGCTTCTTACGAAGCCACTCCTTCGTTGCCCGGGCGGTGTGTTTGGGATCATTGTCATACTGAAAGACCCAGCAACGTTTCATCTCCAATGCCCTTGCTGATGGAAGGAGGTTTTCACTCAAAATCTGACGATACATGGCCCCATTCATTCTTTCCTTTACACGGATCAGAAAAACAGCCCCAAAGCATGATGTTTCCACCCCCATGCTTCACAGTAGGTATGGTGTTCTTTGGATGCAACTCAGCATTCTTTGTCCTCCAAACACGATGAGTTGAGTTTTTACCAAAAAGTTCTATTTTGGTTTCATCTGACCATATGACATTCTCCCAATCCTCTTCTGGATCATCCAAATGCACTCTAGCAAACTTCAGACGGGCCTAGACATGTACTGGCTTAAGCAGGGGGACACGTCTGGCACTGCAGGATTTGAGTCCCTGGCGGCGTAGTGTGTTACTGATGGTAGGCTTTGTTACTTTGGTCCCAGCTCTCTGCAGGTCATTCACTAGGTCCCCCCGTGTGGTTCTGGGATCTTGTGATCATTTTGACCCCACGGGGTGAGATCTTGCGTGGAGCCCCAGATCGAGGGAGATTATCAGTGGTCTTGTATGTCTTCCATTTCCTAATAATTGCTCCCACAGTTGATTTCTTCAAACCAAGCTGCTTACCTATTGCAGATTCAGTCTTCCCAGCCTGGTGCAGGTCTACAATTTTGTTTCTGGTGTCCTTTGACAGCTCTTTGGTCTTGGTCATAGTGGAGTTTGGAGTGTGACTGTTTGAGGTTGTGGACAGGTGTCTTTTATACTGATAACAAGTTCAAACAAGTGCCATTAATACAGGTAACGAGTGGAGGACAGAGGAGCCTCTTAAAGAAGAAGTTACAGGTCTGTGAGAGCCAGAAATCTTGCTTGTTTGTAGGTGACCAAATACTTATTTTCCACCATAATTTGCAAATAAATTCATTACAAATCCTACAATGTGATTTTCTGGATTTGTTTTTCTCATTTTGTCTGTCATAGTTGACGTGTACCTATGATGAAAATTACAGGCCTCTCTCATCTTTTAAGTGGGAGAACTTGCACAATTGGTGGCTGACTAAATACTTTTTTTCCCCACTGTATATGGGCAGAAAGCTTAAATTCTTGTTAATCTAACTGCAGTGTCCAATTTACAGTAGCTGTTACAGCAAAAAAATACCACACTATCTAGATGTGTGAAGGTTAGTGTATTTTCTGTAGGGAAGCTAATGATCCATCATGTATGACATTCATGGAAGTGTGTAAACTTAACATTTTTTTATTACCATAGCAATTTTGTATGTTCTCTATAGTTATGTACTTGAAAATGTATAAATTTATCAATTCGGAAAATTTGGGAAAACTCCTGGCAGACTTGATACAAAAAATTGTGCAGTAATGTAATTCTTCACTGGATCAGTCTGAAACTTTGTACACACAATGCTGCCATCTTGTGGACAAAATCTAAATTACACCTAGATTCCTACATCACTGTCTGGCCTTTCTCTTGCATTTCAAAGATTATGCAACAAAAAAATAAAAAATAGAAAACATATGTTTTTTTGCTTGTATTATCTTTTACCAGATCTAATGTGTTATATTATCCTACATTAATTTCACATTTCCACAAACATCAAAGTGTTTCCTTTCAAATGATACCAAGCAGGTAGCTTAGTGGTTAAGAGCGTTGTGCCAGTAACCGAAAGGTCGCTGGTTCTAATCCCCGAGCCAACTAGGTGAACAATCTGTTGATGTGCCCTTGAGCAAGGCACTTAACCGCTCTGGATAAGAGCGTCTGCTAAATGACTAAAATGTAAAAATGTAGCTCAATTAATTGGTAGAGCATGGTGCTTGTAACGCCAGGGTAGTGGGTTCGATCCCCGGGACCACCCATACGTAAAAATGTATGCACGCATGACTAAGTCGCTTTGGATAAAAGCGTCTGCTAAATGGCATATTAATTTTTAATTAATTAATATGCATATCCTTGCTTCAGGTCCTTAGCTACAGGCAGTTCGATTTTAGGCAAAAATTGAAAAAAAGGGTACGATCCTTAAGAGTTTAAAATGTCCTGCAACAGGGTGATCAAATTAAGATCCTACATCTGTACAAAGCAGGATCAACTAGTTAGCCTGCTAACTTGATAAACAACCAGAATTAACTATTGAATTTCTGAGGGGTATACTACAAAGCAGGATCAATGAGTTAGCCAGCTAAATATTCTGAAATAACTTTTAATATTTTAGAAAGATAAGCTTGAAATGGGTATGGTCTATTTGACTCAACAACCAAAAACTCATACCTACGTTTAGCTTTCTACGGCTGGCCAAAGATAAATTGTTGAGTGCAAAATCACCTAGGCTGATTGAGTGAGCACAGTAGCAACGGTCATCAAAATTGTTTAATGTTTTTACAAACAATTTTAATAAATGCAACAGTTGAACAATTGAACAATGGATGAAGATACTCTAAACTAGAATTGTTTTAATCCATCAGATATTGACTGAATTATAGCACATAAAACATTTTACTGGCACGGACAAATAATGAATCAGGGTTTAAGGATTTTGGTGGGAATTCAGGTATTCAATTTATTGTAAAATGTTATCAATTTTTTCTTAGAGTGCACTCATATAAAAATTTTCAAATGGTATCAGGTATTTTGTAAATATGTTGTTTTAAAATAAATACAATTATATGTGCATCATTTGCATAAATACACTGGGGTGTACAGTATTTGCATATTCAGTATTCAGACCCCTTCCTACAGCCTTATTCTAAAATGGATTAAATAAAACATTTTCCTCATCAATCTACACACAATACCTCATAATGACAAATCAAAAACAAGTTTTTAGACATTTTTGCAAATGTATTACAAATAAAAAGCAGAAATACCTTAATTACATAAGTATTCAGACCCTTTGCTATGAGACTCGAAATTGAGCTAAGGTGCATCCTGTTTCCATTGAGCATCCTTGAGTTGTTTCTACAACTTGATTGGAGTCCACCTGTGGTAAATTCAATTGATTGGACATGACTTGGAAAGGCACACACCTGTCTATATAAGGTCCCACAGTTGACAGTGCATGTCAGAGCAAAAACCAAGCCATGAGGTCGAAGGAATTGTCCATAGAGCGCCGAGACAGGATTGTGTCGAGGCACAGATCTGGGGAAGGGTACCAAAAAATGTCTTCAGCGTTGAAGGTACCCAAGAACACAGTGGCCTCCATCATTCCTCAATGGAAGAAGTTTGGAACCACCAAGACTCTTCCTAGAGCTGGCCGCTCGGCCAAACTGAGCAATCGGGGGAGAAGGGCATTGGTCAGGGAGGTGACCAAGAACCCGATGGTCACTCTGACAGAGTTCCAGAGTTCCTCTGTGGAGATGTGAGAACCTTCCAGATGGACAACCATCTCTGCAGCACTCCACCAATCAGGCCTTTATGGTAGAGTGGCCAGACGGAAGCCACTCCTCAGTAAAAGGCAAATAACAGCCCGCTTGGAGTTTGCCAAAAGGTACCTAAAGGACTCTCAGACCATGAGAAACAAGATTATCTGGTCTGATGAAACCAAGATTGAACTCTTTGGCCTGAATGCCAAGCGTTACGTCTGGAGGAAACCTGGCACCATCCCTACGGTGAAGCATGGTGGTGGCAGCATCATGCTGTGGGGATGTTTTTCAGCGGCAGGGACAGGGAGACTAGTCAGGATCGAGGGAAAGATGAACGGAGCAAGGTACAGAGAGATCCTTGATGAAAACCTGCTCCAGAGCGCTCAGGACCTCAGACTGGGGCGAAGGTTCACTTTCCGACAGGACAACGACCCTAAGCACACAGCCAAGAGTCTCTGAATGTCCTTGAGTGGCCCAGCCAGAGCCCAGACTTGAAACCGATCTAACATCTCTGGAGAGACCTGAAAATAGCTGTGCAGCGACGCTCCCCATCCAACCTGACAGAGCTTGAGAGGATCTGCAGAGAAGAATGGGAGAAACTTCCCAAATACAGGTGTGCCAAGCTTGTAGTGTCATACCCAAGAAGACTTGAGGCTGTAATCGCTGCCAAAGGTGCTTCAACAAAGTATTGAGTAAAGGGTCTGAATACTTATGTAAATGTGATATTTCAGTTTTTGATAAATTAGAAAAGATTTGCTTTGTCATTATGGGGTACTGTGTAGATTGATTAGGGGGGAAAAACATTTCATCCATTTTACAATAAGGCTTTAACGTAACAAAATGTGGAAAAAGTCAAGGGGTCTGAATACTTCATACTTCATACATTAACATAAAGGGGTGGAACTTGCACTGTCTAGGCCTATCTGCACTAACCTGCGCTGTCTAGACTTCCGCATTAATTACTGTTGTTGTCACGTTCTGTTGCATAATTCAACAAGTGTGTCAATAGCTAGATTACACCTATCTACACATACTTTACATTGTTTGCGAGATCAGACATAATATCACTATAATCTGAGTGTTCATTTTCGGAAGTTGCTTTCATTCCAGAGCATCTAATTTGTAAACATTTAAACTCTATTAAATTATTACTTTTTTTCAATTCCACAAAACATAAACACCCATCAAAATGAAGTTGTCTTTCTTGTGATGTTAGTGTAGAGACGATGCGTTAAAGGTCGACTCAGCAGTATGACGTAGATGCAGAAAGTAAACAGCATAGTGGGTCAATTTCTGCAACAACTGACCCTGTTTCACTGTGCTACCTGGTCGATACACTCATGTACTGTCTCATAAATACCTATAGGTCTAGGCCTTGTCTGATAAATACTGATACTACTGTAGCAACATGTCCTTTGCTTAAGTCATTCCACAGACAAGCCCATCCATGCCTGAGAGGCTTGAGGATTTAGCAATTCAAGGATTTCTATTATCTGCTTGAAAACATGACTAATTACACTGTTATCCTTCCTGTGATTACATTGTTGCAACAAATGCACTGATACCTCTGTTCACAAACATGGATTAAGAGTTGAGCCATGAGCTTGCAGTGCAAAGTCAATGTTGGCTGAATACATTTGCAACTCAGAGTGTTGAGAGGGAAAACAGAGGAGTCTGGAACGCAATATGCAATATTGCTGTATTGCTGCATGCACACACCACCCACATACAGTACAAGTCAAAAGTTTGGACACATCTACTCATTCAAGGGTTTTTCTTTATTTTTTACTATTTTCTACATTGTAGAATAATAGTGAAGACATCAAAACTATGAAATACCACATATGGAATCATGTAGTAACCAAAAAAGTGTTAAACAAATCAAAATATATTTTATATTTGAGATTCTTCAAATAGCCACCCATTGATTTGATGACAGCTTTGCACACTATTGGCATTCTCTCAACCAGCTTCATGAGGTAGTCACCTGGAATGCATTTCAATTAACAGGTGTGCCTTAAAAGTTAATCTGTGGAATTTCTTTCCTTCTTAATGCGTTTGAGCCAATCAGTTGTGTTATGACAAGGTGGGGGGGGGTGTACAGAAGATAGCCCTACTTGGTAAAATACCAATTCCATATTATGGCAAGAACAGCTCAAATAAGCAAAGAGAAACGACAGTCCATCATTACTTTAAGACATGAAGGTCAGTCAATACGGAACATTTCAAGAACTTTGAAAGTTTCTTAAAGTGCAGTCACAAAAACCATCAAGCGCTATGATGAAACTGGCACTCATGAGGACTGCGACAGGAATGGAAGACCCAGAGTTAACTCTGCTGCAGAGGATAAATTCATTAGAGTTACCAGAATTTGCAGCCCAAATAAATGCTTCACAGAGTTCAAGTAACAGACACATCTCAACATCAACTGTTCAGAGGGGACGTGTGAATCAGGCCTTCATGGTCGAATTGCTGCAAAGAAACCACTACTAAAGGACACCAATAAGAAGAGACCTGCTTGGGCCAAGAAAACGAGCAATGGACATTTGACCGGAGGAAATATGTCCTTTGGTCTGGAGTCCAAATTTGAGATTTTGGGTTCCAACCGCCATGTCTTTGTGAGACGCAGTGTGGGTGAATGGAAGATCTCTGCATGTGTAGTTCCCACTGTAAAGCATGGAGATGGAGGTGTTATGGTGTGGGGGTTCTTTGCTGGTGACTATCTGTGATTTATTTAGAATTCAAGGCACACTTAACCAGCATGGCTACCACAGCATTTTGCAGCGATACGCCATCCCATCTGGTTTGGGCTTAGTGGGACTTTCATTTGTTTTTCAACAGGACAATGACCCAACACACCTCCAGGCTGTGTAAGGGCTATTTTACCAAGAAGGAGAGTGATGGAGTGCTGCATCAGATGACCTGGCCTCCACAATCCCCCGACCTCAACCCAATTGAGATGGTTTGGGATGAGTCGGACCGCAGAGTGAAGGAAAAGCAACAAATAAGAGCTCAGAATATGTGGGAACTCCTACAAGACTGTTGGAAAAGCATTCCAGGTGAAGCTGGTTGAGAGAATGCCAAGAGTGTGCAAAGCTGTCATCAAGGCAAAGGGTGGCTATTCGAAGATTCTCAAATATAAAATATACTTTGATTTGTTTAACACTTTTTTGTTTACTACATGATTCCATATGTGTTATTTCATAGTTTTGATGTCTTTGCTATTATTCTACAATGTAAAAAATAGTAAAAATAAAGAAAAACCCTGGAATGAGTAGGTGTGTCCAAACCTTTGACTGGTACTGTAAGTCTATAAACCTGCTCGTGCAAGAGTCTAGTGCGGGGCATTGTTCTGTGTGGTTGCTGAAGCATTCACCTTCAGTAGTTGTTGCTACTGCAAACATACATTTTTGTAAAGGGCATCTCCATGTAAAAAGCCCCATGAACACTAACATCTGAAGTTCCTAGGAGCACATCAAATTTGGTGTCAAATTAAAGCTAAGAGTCTATATATTTTTTTTATTTAATAAGGCATACAGTGAGGGGGAAAAAGTATTTTATCCCCTGCTAATTTTGTACGTTTGCCCACTGACAAAGACATGATCAGTCTATAATTTTAATGGTACGTTTATTTGAACAGTGAGAGACAGAATAACAACAAAAAGATCAAGAAAAACGCATGTCAAAAATGTTATGAATTGATTTGCATTTTAATGAGGGAAATAGTACTTAGTACTTGGTTGCAAAACCCTTGTTGGCAATCAAAAAGGTCAGACGTTTCTTGTAGTTGGCCACCAGGTTTGCACACATCTCAGGAGGGATTTTGTTCCACTCCTCTTTGCAGATCTTCTCCAAGTCATTAAGGTTTCGAGGCTGACGTTTGGCAACTCGAACCTTCAGTTCCCTCCACAGATTTTCTATGGGATTAAGGTTTGGATACTGGCTAGGCCACTCCAGGACCTTAATGTGCTTCTTCCTGAGCCACTCCTTTGTTGCCTTGGTCGTGTGTTTTGGGTCATTGTCAAGCTGGAATTATAAAATTATAAAATTATAGACTGATCGTGTCTTTGTCAGTGGGCAAACGTACAAAATCAGCAGGGGATCAAATACTTTTTTCCCTCACTGTATCTTAAAATGAATGCTCTAATGTAAGTCGCTCAAAAATAATTTATCTTTCGTCTCTCTGTGTTTCATAATTTTCCTTCAATTCCCAAGAGGCTGAATCTATCTCACCAGAGAAAGCATCCGAGCGAGCGAAACAGCGCCCCTCTGTCTGTGTATGTGTAGTCCATCTATCTGATGCTGTCTGGTCAAAAAGAGTAGGGCATTGTTGCCGCCTGTAGCATTGAATGTAAAGGAAGCCAGCGAGCATTTGGCCTCCATTGATTAAAAAAAACTGTTAATGGACCTGTCGCACCAAATAAAAGTGTCAAGGGAAGCCAGTTTGGATTTGGTTTCACTCCAATCACATTGCATCGAGAGCAATACATCGTTGACAGAAACAACTTGAATTGTTGCATCTCGTTGTATTGTTGTCCTCTGGTGGCTAGCTAGCTAGCTAAAATCTGCCCTTTCCTAAATTAGCCATGGATGGTGATAGGGATTTGGACTTGTGGTTTTACTTAATTCTCCATACTGGCCAATGATTATAATGGCGATTCAACCATAAATTCATACATTGCGCCCCTGGCCTGAAAGGATGGAAGTTCAATATGTAGCTAGATGTAGAAGGCTAATGTTAACTAACGTTGCCCATGAAAGGAAGTTAGGCTAGCAAGCAAGCATTTTAGCCAGGTAGCCTAGGACAACAAAAAATAAAAGTGTGTACTGTATGACCGTTTCATTAACATGAACATGATGGCATTGACATTTCTATACAAGTAGGGTGAGTCAACATGTTTTTTCTACATGCACGAACGCACACACACACACACTCCCTCTCACTCACTCACTCACTCACTCACTCACTCACTCACTCACTCACTCACTCACTCACTCACTCACTCACTCACTCACTCACTCACTCACTCACTCACACACACACAGAGATATAGAGAGAAATCAGAACCATGGACAGCTACATCATATTTAGTTTATGTTGATTCGACAAAATAGTTTTTGGTATATTTTAGTTTACGATGTTGACATTTTGAAGTTGAAATGGTGCTTGAATAGTGGAGGCAGCAACTGTTTTCTTTGCGACTTGCATTAACTCTCTGTTATGTATTACAACACATACAGTGAGGGAAAAAAGTATTTGATCCCCTGCTGATTTTGTACGTTTGCCCACTGACAAACAAATGATCAGTCTATAATTTTAATGGTAGGTTTATTTGAACAGTGAGAGACAGAATAACAACAAAAAAATCCAGAAAAACGCATGTCAAAAATGTTATGAATTGATTTGCATTTTAATGAGGGAAATAAGTATTTGACCCCTCTGCAAAACATGACTTAGTACTTGGTGGCAAAACCCTTGTTGGCAATCACAGAGGTCAGACGTTTCTTGTAGTTGGCCACCAGGTTTGCACACATCTCAGGAGGGATTTTGTCCCACTCCACTTTGCAGATCTTCTCCAAGTCATTAAGGTTTCGAGCCTGACGTTTGGCAACTCGAACCTTCAGCTTCCTCCACAGATTTTCTATGGGATTAAGGTCTGGAGACTGGATAGGCCACTCCAGGACCTTAATGTGCTTCTTCTTGAGCCACTCCTTTGTTGCCTTGGCCGTGTGTTTTGGGTCATTGTCATGCTTGAATACCAATCCACGACCCATTTTCAATGCCCTGGCTGAGGGAAGGAGGTTCTCACCCAAGATTTGACGGTACATGGCCCCGTCCATCGTCCCTTTGATGCGCTGAAGTTGTCCTGTACCCTTAGCAGAAAAACACCCCCAAAGCATAATGTTTCCACCTCCATGTTTGACGGTGGGAATGGTGTTCTTGGGGTCATAGGCAGCATTCCTCCTCCTCCAAACACGGCGAGTTGAGTTGATGCCAAAGAGCTCCATTTTCACCCAGTTCTCCTCTGAATCATTCAGATGTTCATTGGCAAACTTCAGACGGGCACGTACAGTGGGGAGAACAAGTATTTGATACACTGCCGATTTTGCAGGTTTTCCTACTTACAAAGCATGTAGAGGTCTGTAATTTGTATCATAGGTACACTTCAACTGTGAGAGACGGAATCTAAAACAAAGATCCAGAAAATCACATTGTATGATTTTAAGTAATTAATTTGCATTTTATTGCATGACATAAGTATTTGATACATCAGAAAAGCAGACCTTAATATTTGGTACAGAAACCTTTGTTCGCAATTACAGAGATCATACATTTCCTGTAGGTCTTGACCAGGTTTGCACACACTGCAGCAGGGATTTTGGCCCACTCGTCCATACAGACCTTCTCCAGATCCTTCAGGTTTCGGGGCTGTCGCTGGGCAATTGAGACTTTCAGCTCCCTCCAAAGAATTTCTATTGGGTTCAGGTCTGGAGACTGGCTAGGCCACTCCAGGACCTTGAGATGCTTCTTACGGAGCCACTCCTTAGTAGCCCTGGCTGTGTGTTTCGGGTCGTTGTCATGCTGGAAGACCCAGCCACGACCCATCTTCAATGCTCTTACTGAGGGAAGGAGGTTGTTGGCCAAGATCTCGCGATACATGGCCCCATCCATCCTTCACTCAATACGGTGCAGTCGTCCTGTCCCCTTTGCAGAAAAGCATCCCCAAAGAATGATGTTTCCACCTCCATGCTTCACGGTTGGGATGGTGTTCTTGGGGTTGTACTCATCCTTCTTCTTCCTCCAAACACGGCGAGTGGAGTTTAGACCAAAAATCTCTATTTTTGTCTCATCAGACCACATGACCTTCTCCCATTCCTCCTCTAGATCATCCAGATGGTCATTGGCAAACTTCAGACGGGCCTGGACATGCGCTGGCTTGAGCAGGGGGACCTTGCGTGCGCTGCAGGATTTTAATCCATGACGGCGTAGTGTGTTACTAATGGTTTTCTTTGAGACTGTGGTCCCAGCTCTCTTCAGGTCATTGACCAGGTCCTGCCGTCTAGTTCTGGGCTGATCCCTCACCTTCCTCATGATCATTGATGCCCCAGGAGGTGAGATCTTGCACGGAGCCCCAGACCGAGGGTGATTGACCGTCATCTTGAACTTCTTCCATTTTCTAATAATTGCGCCAAAAGTTGTTGCCTTCTCACCAAGCTGCTTGCCTATTGTCCTGTAGCCCATCCCAGCCTTGTGCAGGTCTACAATTGTATCCCTGATGTCCTTACACAGCTCTCTGGTCTTGGCCATTGTGGAGAGGTTGGAGTCTGTTTGATTGAATGTGTGGACAGGTGTCTTTTATACAGTAAACGAGTTCAAACAGGTGCAGTTAATACAGGTAATGAGTGGAGAACAGGAGGGCTTCTTAAAGAAAAACTAACAGGTCTGTGAGAGCCGGAATTCTTACTGGTTGGTAGGTGATCAAATACTTATGTCATGCAATAAAATGCAAATTAATTACTTAAAAATCATACAATGTGATTTTCTGGACCTCTACATGCTTTGTAAGTAGGAAAACCTGCAAAATTGGCAGTGTATCAAATACTTGTTCTCCCCACTGTATATGTGCTTTCTTGAGCAGGGGGACCTTGCGGGCGCTGCAGGATTTCAGTCCTTCACGGCGTAGTGTGTTACCAATTGTTTTCTTGGTGACTATGGTCCCAGCTGCCTTGAGATCATTGACAAGATCCTCCCGTGTAGTTCTGGGCTGATTCCTCACCGTTCTCATGATCATTGCAACTCCACGAGGTGAGATCTTGCATGGAGCCCCAGGCCGAGGGAGATTGACAGTTCTTTTGTGTTTCTTCCATTTGCGAATAATCGCACCAACTGTTGTCACCTTCTCACCAAGCTGCTTGGCGATGGTCTTGTAGCCCATTCCAGCCTTGTGTAGGTCTACAATCTTGTCCCTGACATCCTTGGAGAGCTCTTTGGTCTTGGCCATGGTGGAGAGTTTGGAATCTGATTGATTGATTGCTTCTGTGGACAGGTGTCCTTTATACAGGTAACAAGCTGAGATTAGAAGCACTCCCTTTAAGAGTGTGCTCCTAATCTCAGCTCGTTACCTGTATAAAAGACACCTGGGAGCCAGAAATCTTTCTGATTGAGAGGGGGTCAAATACTTATTTCCCTCATTAAAATGCAAATCAATTCATAACATTTTTGACATGCGTTTTTCTGGATTATTTTGTTGTTATTCTGTCTCCCACTGTTCAAATAAACCTACCATTAAAATTATAGACGGATCATTTGTTTGTCAGTGGGCAAACGTACAAAATCAGCAGGGGATCAAATACTTTTTTCCCTCACTGTAGGTTGTAATATGCCTTTTCTTCTGTCTTGGCTTGCCCAGTGATTTTACCCACGCACCGCTACTGAAAATGTACTCCACTCTACTGTACTGAACTACACTCTAATTTACTGTGATGTACTGTACTGAACTCTACTCTGGGCTGTACTGTACACTACTGTGATGTCCAAACTTGTGAAACATAGACATTTATGATTGGTCCAGATTTGATCCGGTGCGGACCAACTAAATTTGGTCTTGTTTGGAGAGAGAGCTCCTTAGAATCATATTGTTTTATTTAACCTTTATTTAACTAGGCAAGTCAGTTAAGAACAAATTCTTATTTACAATGACGGCCTACCAAAAGGCAAACGGCCTCCTGCGGGGACGGGGGCTGGGATTAAAAATTAAAATGTAGGACAAAACACACATCACGACAAGAGAGACACCACAACACTACATAAAGAGAGACCCAAGACAACAACACAGCATGGCAGCAACACAACATGGCAGCAGCACAACAAGGTAGCAGCACAAAACATGGTACAAACATTATTGGGCACAGACAACAGCACAAAGGTCCAGAAGGTAAAGACAACAATACATCACGCGAAGCAGCCACAAGTGTCAGTAAGAGTGTTCATGCTTGAGTCTTTGAATGAAGAGATGGAGAGAAAACTGTCCAGTTTCAGTGTTTTTGCAGCTCGTTCCAGTCGCTAGCTGCAGCGAACTGAAAAGAGTAGCAACCCAGGAACGTGTGCGCTTTGGGGACCTTTAACAGAATGTGACTGGCAGAACGGGTGTTGTATGTGGAGGATGAGGGTTGCAGTAGGTATCTCAGATAGGGGGGAGTGAGGCCTAAGAGGGTTTTATAAATAAGCATCAACCAGTGGGTCCTGCATCAGGTATACAGATATAGCCAGTGTGTAGTTTAACACCCAAACATGCAAAAGAGGATATTACATTTTTCTACCTTTGTGTACCTATTCAGGCTACATCACCATAAAGATAATGACATTCATAATTATGCAGTTCTGTATAGTACAGATGAGGGACCCGTGATGTCATAGCCAAAATATATTTTTTCAAACTCAAGGTGTCATCATAGCTGACACCCCATTCATTCTGCAGACATCTTTGAATCTTAATTCGGAGTAGATATTTGACCGAATATTTGGAAAAAGTGGTCACATAAAAAACTGAGGGAGATTTTACCTTAATTATGTTTTCAAACTTTGCATCTGCACTGTCATTCGATTAAATATGTTTTTGTAAACATTGCAGTAGAAATTGATAAAAGTAGTCCTTGTGCATAGTTTGTTTGGTTTGTTTAACTTTTCAATCAATGGTTTTTGTCTGGCATACTTTTAAAGTGAAACATTGGAGTCTCACCGTCATTCTGTTACCATGAAATTGCCCTTATGTGCTTTCAACAAGCACAGTGAGGACAAAGCACGTTCCTCCTTTGAGGAGAAGTCAAAGTAAGCACTATTGTATGCAAAGTAAAATATCACAAACTGTGGTTCTTTAACTGTATCTTGCAACCATAACATTCAAATGTTGATGTGGAAATAGAACCCCCTGTGATCCTTTATTTGGACATTAGCCCACAAAGAAGTCAATAATTCTAAGTTCCCTTTGAAAGCAAATATAATCTCACTAGAGTATGTTTGTTTTTCTATTAGGCCGATAGTGCTTTTTATCATTATGTTGATTGTGTCGTAGGCCTATTGTTGTCACAATTCTGCCCATTTCTGAAGAGGTTTATCTGTTATGTACCCTTTTGTACCTGAATCCAAAGTAATTGCTACAGATCATTTACATGTTTTACACTTCAAAACCAATACATACCAGAGGGAAAGGCTAAATAAAAAAGAAATGATTTGCAAAAGAGATCCAGCTAGTCTAGAAGGTTGGGGTATGTAGAAATGGAATACCTTCAAGTTATGACTTTGATAAGTCTTCAATTGCTAATGCTAATTTACCCCTCCAAACCACTGTGATTGTTTCCTTTCAGTTTCCCTGGAGCAGATTGGCAACCTCAACAAGAGATTCAGACAGCTGAACAAGAATCAGGAGACACTAAGGTAGTGTCACCTACATCATAGATATACAGTACATCATTGGCTGTCACCCATCTAATCTATTCATATACTGTAAAACCATTCAGGAAATATTTTATATATTTTGGACATTACCGTCATATTTTATGTATTTTGGAATTAACCATCAAATATTCTACGTAAAATACAGTAGCGGTTCACTTACTGTATTTGTGAATGTACAAAATAGAATGCCACACAAAGAGTACAAGGTCGGACAAAATCAAAGCACATCCTCTAAAGTAAGAGAGAAAAAGGTTTTGTTGTATTTTGAATGGCTTGTAATTCCACCCCACAGAATAGTCCCATATTATATTTTTGGAGTGCCAAAATCCTTTTGACCACTAGTTGGTGCATGGTTTTGCGGTTTCTGGCTCATTAACATATTTTTGAGGCATGCCTTGTAAGAGCCTACATTTGTGCTGTACCAATGTAATTTAGAAGTGGTAGTAGTACCCCATCAATTAAATGTGTATAGGGGACAGATTGGAGTGGAAGCTAATGGTTGAGTATTTGCCTTGTCCTTTGGTCAGTTTTGCGCTGTAGTCACAGTTTGGAGGCCTTTGTTAAGTGCAGCATTTGGTATTTTCTATCACTTACACTTCAGGAGGCCTTAACTCAGGCTTCCAAATTGGCATTCATTGATATGCTGTAATATGTAAACACATTACCTAGCAGCCAACCTACTTGCACAGACCACTTATCCTGGACATTTTGCTGATATCGTTCATTACGATAAGAAGCCTATAATGGAGAAATTTGAAATTAAACAAGTATTTCTAATATGGTATTGTTGTTTCTGGCTCATTAACATATTTTGAGGCGTGCCTCGTAAGAGGCTACATTTGTGCTACCCGTTAGTGAGAGGGCTGTACCAATTTAATTGATACTTGTTGACAGTAACCTTAATATAATATTTGTTGACAGTAACCTTGGCCTTTAGCAAAAGGCGGTAAACATCTCACATGATAATATAGTTGTTACTAACATATTTTCATGTCATGTTTTCTTTTGCAGTCGACAGGACTTGGCGAGCATCCCTGCTCTAGATAACAATCCACTCCGGGCTCAAATTATTAATGCCTTCTTTGATAAAAGGTGATTATATAACCAAAGTGCAACATTGAAATCTCTCGTTTAATACATACTGTATTTACTGTCATTAACTGCTAAAACAATGTTATTACACATAGAGGTCAGTTTTGTTCATGAGGTAATCAGTGACGCAGTAAAGGCCTTCGTTTTGAAGCATGTTCAACGCAGGGCAATCTCAGTGAATTCACATATACATGTAACTCTATGCCTCTAGCCTTGGTAACCTTGCCGGTTAGTCTGGTTTAACCAGGCTAATGCCTCTCCATGTTTACTTGATTTAGAAACCTCCATCAGAATGAGACGGGTACGGTCAAGGTGATTGGCTTTGAGGAGTTCCTCATGGTCATGTCTCACTTTCGCCCGGCAGCCATGCACATCACAGAGGAGGAGAGGGAGAAACTGAGGCGGGAGAAACTACGCTGTATGGTTTGGTGATGAGTAGAGTAACCTTGCTGAGACCTGTGTTTGTGCCCAGAGCTAATGCCTAGGCTTTAGCTCAGTGGGCTAATGTGGTCTTGACTGAGTCATGCAGGCAACATGTTTTATATAAAGGGCTATTCTAGATCGAATCATAACATAGTTTCAGTTCACTAATCATACTCTAGTGTAGAGTCTAGATTGGGTCTGGAGTACACCAGCCAGTCTGTCTTGCTCCTACTTATCATGGCTGCATCTCAGAAAGCCAAACATTCTCATAATCATTCCTTCCTCATCCATCCTGATGATGTGGAATGAGCCATTAGGGCCATATCCTGCCCATGGACACCCTTCCCATTCAATGATGGATGAAATAGAATAGAAACGATAGTAGAGAGCATCTTTGGGGATACAATAGTTGGTAAAAACATACTAATTTGCTTGTTCGTCTTAATTGTGTCTCTTCAGTTCTGTTCAACATGCATGACACAGACAGCGACGGCACCATCACTCTGGAGGAGTACAGACGGGTACTCCCTTTACTACTCTCTCCTCACCATAACCCTCCAGGCCCAAGGCCTGTATTCACAGTGTCTCAGGGCAGGAGTGCTGAACTAAAAGCAGGTCCCCCTCCCGTCCATGTAATATTATTCATTATGATCAAAAAGGCAAAACTGATCCTATGTCAGCACACCTGTCCTGATACGTTTTGTGAAGGTCTGTTTATCATTGACGTTGAATGGACCGGTGTGCTCTTTCCCTCATCTAGGCGGTAGACGAGCTCCTGTCTAAGGCTGGCACAATCGGGCAGGAGACCGCAAAGGCCATTGCAGACGCCGCCATGCTGGAAGTTGCAAGCACCACAAGGGGCAAAATGGTAACGGGGTTATCACTTCATCCTTAATGTTCGTACCCTTAAGACCAAAGAGTTAATGAAGGAAGAAGTGCATGAGTAAGATAAAATGATAACTCAATTGATTACAGTGAACCACACCTTATTTTGAAGTGCAAAGAACTGTTCTACTTTGTACTGCTTGGTGCCGTGCCTAAGAACAGCCCTTAGCCGTCAGTTATTCATGATAATCCACAGGTCCTCATGCCTTATTGCTTAAAGGGGCAATCTGCAGTTCAAACAATAAAAAATACAATATATGTAAAATAAAATACAATATATTAAACACCAATGGTATTCACTAAGATTATTTATATTTAGGATGTTTTACAGCTTTGACACAATTTTCTATCATCTTATTTGATTATTTCATATATTTTACATGTGATAAGGCCACACAGAGGGCCAGATAAAAGGCCCTAGATGTCATCTTATACAATTCCAAAGAAACCTTGAAAGTTACCTAAATTCTGGTAGTTTACTGCTACATTTGAAAAGTTTCAGTAATATTCCCTTTGCAACCCTAGGTAAAAATGAATGTAGCAACTGTAGATTTCCCCTTTAAATTTGGTTACTTTGTTTTTCAGGAACCTGATGAATTCTATGAAGGAATCACTTTTGAAAATTTTCTTCAGGTATGGTTGTATACAAAACATTAGAAATACCTGCTCTTTCCATGACAGACTAACCAGGTGAAAGATATGATCCCTTATTGATGTCACTTGTTAAATCCACTTCAAATCGGTGTAGATGAAGGGAAGGAGACAGGTTAAAGAAGGATTTTTAAGCCTTGAGACATGGATTGTGTCTTAACATACTGCTATACTTTATATACTGAATACTGCCATATCAGTCTTATATTCCCCTACCTTTTCTCCCCACAGATTCTTAAAACCTTCGATATTGAGACGAGGATGCACGTTCGCTTTTTAAACATGGACACTGCAACCATGCGATGTGGAAAATGAGTCCCGGTCTCCTTTAAAATACATCTGTTACTGCTGTTTTTAGCAGAATGAATCTCTCCGGGCTTCCTCTGGAATGAAGCCAAATACCTTTTATAACTTCTGAATGATTGATGGGAGATCATAATCCACTGTGATATACAGTGCCTTCAGAAAGTATTCATACCCCTCGACTTATTACACATTTTGTTGTGTTACAGCCTGAATTCAAAATGGATTACATTTATTTATTTTTCTCACCCATCTACACACAATACCCCATAATGACAAAGTGAAAACATGTTTTTAGAAATGTTTGCACATTGATTGAAAATGAAATGCAGAAATATCAAATTTACATACACTAAGTATTCACACCCCTGAGTCCATACTTTGTAAAAGCAATTTTGGCAGCGATTACAGCTGTGAGTCTTTCTGGGTAACTCTGAAGGAGCTTTCCACACCTGGATGGTGCAACATTTGCCCATTATTCTTTTCAAAATTATTCAAGCTCTGTCAAATATCAGGTCTTTCCATAGATTTTCAAGGAGATTTAACTCAAAAACGTTAACTCGGCCACTCAGGAACATTCACTATCTTCTTGGCAAGCAACTCCAGTATAGACTTGGCCTTGTGTTTTAGGTTATTGTCCTGCTGAAAGGTTAATTCATCTCCCAGTGTCTGGTGGAAAGCAGGTTTTCCTCTAGGACTTTGCCTGTGCTTAGCTCCATTCCGTTTCTTTTCGATCCTGAAAATCTCCCCAGTCCTAAACGATTACAAGCATACCCGTAACATCATGCAGTCACCACTATGCTTGAAAATATGGAGAGTGGTACTCAGTAATGTGTCGTATTGGATTTGCCCCAAACATAACACTTTGTATTCAGGACAAAAAGTTAATCGCTTTGCCACATTTTTTTGCAGTATTACTTTAGTGCCTTGTTGCAAACAGGATAAATGTTTTGGAATATTTGGATTCTGTACAGGCTTCCTTCTTTTCACTCTGTCAATTAGGTTAGCATTGTGGAGTAACTGCAATGTTGTTGATCTATCCTCAATGTTCTCCTATCACAGCCATTAAACCCTGTAACTGTTTTTTTTATGTATACATAAGAGTACAGCCATTTTGAATGCCTAGAGGTTCACACGACCCATTATGTGGATCACTGAGAGGATCAGTGTTGGCATCCAGGGTCACTTTTATTCTGGCTCTGTGGGGCACAGTGCATTCCGACAGGGCTTGAGAATACACGGAAGACTCAATTATCTAGTTCACCAAGCTTCATTATTCCTGTGCCCTTTCAGTGGAGTCTCACCCTTCTACCCTCTAAATCAAAGAAGAATAACCACTTTTATGTTTTAATACATTAGATGAATATTGTTCCTTATGTCCAAAGAACCTGTAATAGCCTTTGCACTAATTTATACACATATTTTAGTCATTAATTAAAAATAAAAAATTATAAGATGAAAAATTGTTGGAGTTACTTGTGTTTTGCTTCCATATTCTTGTGAATATAGATAAGACTGCCATCTGCAGTTCCACTGAAGTAAATTAAGCAAAAGGACCATTGTTGCCCATACATTTTTGGAGGATGTCAGTATCAACTTCAATGTCTAGTTAAAGGTCCAATGCAGCAGTTTCTATCTCAATATCAAATCATTTATGGGTATAAATGAAGTACCTTACTGTGATTGTTTAACAGTACAATGGAGAAAAGCTTAGCTTCTTAGCAAAGAGCAATTTCCCAAGCAAGAATTTTGCTAGGAATATCTGGGAGTGGTCTGAGTGGTAAGAGAAAACTGAAAATGTTATTATTGGCAGAGGTTTGGAACTATCTTTCTTAATGGTCTATTAACTAATTTACAGCATGGTGATTTCACCATGGAAGTCCAAAACTCTATGCCACCAAAACAGGCTGAAATGTCAGGCGGTCTTTTCAAACAGCTCTTACATTAAAAGGGCAGTATCATCATGTTCAAATTTCACAGTATTATTCCAACCTCATAGTGTAGAAATATATATAAAACACTGGAAAATCGCGTGTTTGACTGGATTGCATCCATTCTGAATTCATTGCTCTAAAAAAAACATGAAGAGCAAGATTAAAACAAATTCCTTAACAGTACAAGGAAACACATGAGCTTCTTTTAAAAAATAAGGACAGCTACTAATTAAAAATGAGATTCAGTTTGAAAAATCTAACGGATATATAAAAGCTGATTTGCTTTGTACATACTGTCTACGGGGCTGGTGGTAGGGGTCAGCAGGGCTGGTGGTGGTAGGGGTCTGCATGCAGGGCTGGTGGTAGGGGTCTGAAGGGCTGGTGGTAGGGGTCTGCATGCAGGGCTGGTGGTAGGGGTCTGCATGCAGGGCTGGTGGTAGGGGTCTGAAGGGCTGGTGGTAGGGGTCTGCATGCAGGGCTGGTGGTAGGGGTCTGAAGGGCTGGTGGTAGGGGTCTGCAGGGCTGGTGGTGGAAGGGGTCTGCATTCAGGGCTGGTGGTGGTAGGGGTCTGCATGCAGGGCTGGTGGTAGGGGTCTGCATGCAGGGCTGGTGGTAGGGGTCTGAAGGGCTGGTGGTAGGGGTCTGAAGGGCTGGTGGTAGGGGTCTGAAGGGCTGGTGGTAGGGGTCTGAAGGGCTGGTGGAAGGGGTCTGCAGGGCTGGTGGTACTAGTAGTAGGGTTCTGAAGGGCTGGTGGTAAGGGTCAGTGGGAGGGGTGAGAGCCAGACAGGATGTCATAGGGCACAGCCAGGCCGATGTTGTAGTTGTAGCCAGATGACTCCACATAGTTGGACCTGCAGATGGGCAGAACATGGTCCTGGGAGGTGGAGTCCTCTGAGAAGTCATAGTGGCAAATCACTCCCCTGTGTCTGTAATGTGGACACACAAGAATTAGGGGAGTTAAACAACAAAACAACAACAAACAGACTCTCATAGAATTAAATAGAATGTACAGTGCCTTCAGAAAGTATTCACACCCCTGGACTATTTCCACATTTTGTTGTGTTACAGCCTGAATTTAAAATGGATTAAATTAAGATTTTGTGTCACTGGCCTACACATACACAATACCCCATAATGTCAAAGTGGAATTGTTTAACAAAAATCTACATTCATTAAAAAAGAAAAGCTGAAATGTCTTGAGTCAATAAGTATTCAACCCCTACGATAAGCCTAAATAAGTTCAGGAGTAAAAATGTGTTTAACAACTCACATAATAAGTTGAACGACTACCTCATCTCTGTACCCCACACATACAATTATCTGTAAGGTCCTTCAGTCGAGAAGTGAATTTCAAACACAGATTCAACCCCAAAGACCAGGGAGGTTTTCCAATGCCTTGCAAAGAAGGGGGAAAAAAATTAAATAATAGCTGACATTGAATATCCCTTTGAGCATGGTGAAGATATTAATTACACTTTGGATGGTGTATCAATACACCCAGTCACTACAAAGATACAGGTGTCCTTCCTTTCTCAGTTGCCGGAGAGGACGGTAACCACTCAGGGATTTCACCATGAGGCCAATGGTGACTTTAAAACAGTTACAGAGTTTAATGGCTGTGATAGGAGAACACTGAGGATGGATCAACAACATTGTAGTTACTCCACAATACTACCTTAAATGAGGTAATAAGGTACTAAAGTAAAACTGCAAAAAATTTGGCAAAGAAATTAACTTAATGTCCTGAATACAAAGCTTTATGTTTGGGGCAAATCCAAAACAACATATCACTGAGTACCACTCTTCATATTTTCAAGCCTGGTGGTGACTGCATCATGTTATGGGTATGCTTGCCATCGGCAAGGACTATGGCGTTTTTGGGGATAAAAATAAACGGAATAGAGCTAAGCACAGGCAAAATCCTAGAGGAAAACCTGGTTCAGTCCGCTTTTCAACAGACACTGGGAGACAAATTCACCTTTCAGCAGGACAATAACCTAAAACACAAGGCCAAATATAGACTGGAGTTGCTTACCAAGATGACATTGAATGTTCCTAAGTGGTCTAGTTACAGTTTTGACTGAAATCGCCTGTACATTTATGGCAAGACTTGAAAATGTCTGTCTAGCAATGATCAACAACCAACTTGAAAGAGCTTGAAGAATTATAATAATGCAAATATTGTACAATCCAGGTGTGCAAAGCTCTTAGAGACTTACCCAGAAAGACTTACAGCTGTAATTGCTGCCAAAGGTGATCCTAACATGTATTGAATCAGGGAGTTGAATACTTACGTAATCAAGATATATTAGTTTTATTTTTCATTAATGTTTTACAAATGTTAGCATTTTTCTACTTTGACAGAGTATTTTGTGTACAGTGTTGACACATTTTTTTTTACATGAAATCCATTTTAATCTCACCTTGTAACACAAATGTGGAAAAAGTCAAGGGGTGTGAATACTTTCTGACGGCACATCTATGGAGACACTGCTCTCTGTGTAATCTGGAATCTTCAGTAGAATAAACAAGTATCTTGCTAAACTCTAAATGTATAAATGAGAATTTGGGGTAGTGTTATTACGGACCTGCGGTGGGCTGTGAGGTCGTCATCTGTGATGCAGGCCCCTCGTGGAGACTTCTCGTCTGGGACGTTGGCTGTCACCAGGGTGCTAGTGTTGAATCTCACATGTCTGACTGGGTGCCTGCAAACAGACAGGAGGGAGAAACAACAAACACCATTTTTAATTATTAACAATTTGATTTCTCACACACACACACAAAACAGAAAAAGAACACCAAACACATTCGCTAAGGAGCTGAAAAGGGATCAATCAATACTGATGCGCCTGTTTGGTTTGCTGCCAATGTCAGCCTGATAGGTAAATGTTGCGTATTGCTGAGTATTTTAGCAATGCATACTTGCAAGTGACAGGAATGGCAAGACACTTAAATTTGGATATTTCAAGTACAGAATAGCACATGTAAGTATTCTACCTTCCTTTTGTGGCACAAACAAATAGATGTATGAACAACCAATAGAAATAACTCTGCTGTCCCACCTGTTGTGCATCTCCCACAGTTTAGCTCCCATCCTCATCTCCCAGACGCAGACCAATCCCTCACCTCCGCCACTCACGATCTTCCAATCGTCTGCCTGCACGGAGGTCACGCCCATGTGGTGGGCATACAGTGATGTCACAGAGGAGCCGGTGCGCAGGTCAAACACCCTCACCCTGAAACAGAACACAGCGAAAGCAAGTAGTCATTTCATCTCAGGAAGTGATGTTGCAGGAAGTAGATCAGACAAAGGTGGTCGATTCACTCCACTACTGAAGATATGAAAGGATGCATCTTTACTAGGCTGGTCCCAGATCTGTTTGTGCTCTTGCCACCTCTATTGCTGTCATTTTCAAGCCATGGCATGACAATGAGTGACAAGGAGTTGGCATTATAGCACCTACAGAACAGCACTCAGGCTACATCTTTACTAGGTTACCAGAGGAAACTTGGTGCCTCAGAACAATGCATTACAAAAACAACAACAGAGAACCTACAAGCGATGATCAGAGAAGACACAGGCCAACAAAGACAGGCATAAACACCAACTCCAATGGAGTTGAAGGATGGGACTAATAACAAATAACAACAAATAATAACAAGATAACTAATCCATAATAAGTATATGGTTGTATGTTGGGAGCTTTTGGGAAAGAGCACAGTTAGAAAGATATGGCATATAGAAGCAAACCGGATGGACATCATGAAAATGAACAGAGAGGTTGAGAGTAGAAGAAGTTCAGGAGCAAAAAAAATTTAAATAAAAAATACAAATAGAATTATTGTAAAATCGACTGTGTCCATAAGGTGTAGATAGTAAGTATAGGCTGGAAGTAGAGGCCTGGGCATTGTTGTTCACTAATTTACCCCAAGTAGGGAAAGGATGGCGGGGTTGAAAAGTAATAAAGGGGAGTATATATATAAAAAACATGGGGGATTGGAAGTGATGCAGACAATTACATTGATAGAAGTTACAATCTATCTGCAATATTAAGCTGATCTACCCCCCCCCCCCCCCCCAAAAAAAATATAATAACACCAACACCAGGTGGAATTGAGGGGATTTAATCTGCTTCATCTACTTTAGACCACTTATAAACATAAGTTTAATTACTTTAGCCACCAATAACACTCATTCACTCACAGAACCAAAGATACAAATATTGAAGATTTTTTGAACTGATTAAACACGGCACTGTTGTAGCATTAATAAAACTAAGAGGAGGATTCTTGGATCTGGTTTGACGAGCCACACATGCCCCATGGACCTCCAGCTCCATCTGTTGCCATCACTGCTTTAGTTTATTGGGTCCCACCGCACAGCAGCCGGAGGATGACTTCATGCAAAAAGCTTTCCAAAAGTTCATTACCGAAATTTAATTTATTTGGGGGTGAGCAGATTTAATTTCCGCTTCAAGAAATTAAATGAATCAGGGTTGCATAGCTAAATGGGCATTAGCATTGTAACTAAGACATATGGTGAGACATGGGTTGTGTCACAAATGGCACCCTACTCCCTACAGAGTGCACTACGTTTGACCAGAGCCCTATGGGTCCTGGTCAAAAGTAGTACACTATATAGGGAATAGGGTGCCATTTGAGACACAGACATGGACATGGCTGCTGAGTAGTGTTGTTTCATGGGCACTCGCGCTTTAGCAAAGGGGATTAAAAGTTACTGTCTGGCAGTCTCTGACAGTCAAATCTAATGTTTGGAGCGAGCCCTGGCCTTCACTGAGCTGCCAGTGGACAAGATACTTCACATTAAAATCAGCATGATCCTTGTTTTCTACTAGCCAGTTGAATGATAGTGCAACATTTATATTTCTGCCGAAATAGACATACCCAAACGTAAATCATTTTTCATGAGATGGCCATAAACAATAACTCGTAAGGTTGCATAGTTTTAGAAAGGTCTGGAACTCAACCTTCTGGGATAAAAATATATATATATATAATTGCTCAGGTGTACTCACTTTTGAGGACAAACTCAAGTATATAGTACAAATATTATGAGAATATGAAAATCATATATGAATGGTCAGTTTAATTCTATGAAATTATTTTGTATTTTTTCATGTTGAGAGCTCTAACTCCAGCTGAGAATATGACAGCGAGATGAAACTATACTGAACAAAAACGCAACATGTAAAGTGTTGGTCCCATGTTTCATGAGCTAAAAAAAACACTTTAAAAAAAATGTATTTCTCTAAAATGTTGTGCACAAATTTGTTTAATAATAATAATAATAATAATATGCCATTTAGCAGACGCTTTTATCCAAAGCGACTTACAGTCATGCGTGCATACATTTTTGTGTATGGGTGGTCCCGGGGATCGAACCCACTACCTTGGCGTTACAAGCGCTGTGCTCTACCAGCTGAGCTACAGAGGACCACACTTGCCACTGTTTACATCCCTGTTAGTGAGCATTTCTCCATTGCCAAGATAATCCATCCACCTGACAGTTGTGATTTATCAAGAAGCTGATTAAACAGCATGATCATTACATGGGTGCACCTTGTGACAATAAAAGGCCACTAAAATGTGCAGTTGTGTCACAACACAGTGCCACAGACGCCTCAAGTTGAGGGGGCGTGCAGTTGTCATGCTGACTGCAGGAATGTCCACCAGAGCTGTTACCAGAGAATTTAATGTTAATTTCTCTACCATAAGCCGCCTCCAACGTCGTTTTAGAGGCCCATCCATGGCTGTGCCCCTGCCCAGTCATGTGAAATCCATTGATTAGAGCCTAATGAATATATTTCAATTGACTGATTTCCTTATATGAACTGTAACTCAATAAAATCGTTGAAATTGTTGCATGTTGCGTTTATATTTCTGTTCAGTATAGTATTGCTGCACCCGCTAGATTCTCTAGTTTCATATACGCTATTGCAAGCGCCACTATAAGTTTCACAGACACAGGAAATCGTTCCTTTGTCTGGATACAGTGCATTCGGAAAGTATTCAGACCCCTTGATTTTTTCCACATTTTGTTTTGTTACAGCCTTATTCTAAAATTGATTCAATTGTTTTTTCCCCCTCATCAATCTACACACAATACCCCATTATGACCAAGTAAAAACAGGGTTTTAGACATTTTTGCAAATGTATTAAAAATAAACATCTGTGGGCCTCCCGAGTGGCGCAGCGGCCTAAGACACTGTATCGCAGTGTTGCAGCGTCACTACAGCCTGGGATTTGATCCCAGGCTGTCATTACCCGGCGTGACCGGGACGCCCATAGGGCGGCACACAATTGGCCCAGCGTCGTCCGGGTTAGGGGAGGGTTTGGCGGGCCGGGCGCCTGCAGGCTGACTTCGGTTGTCAGTTGAACAGTGTTTCCTCCGACACATTGGCTGGCTTCCGGGTTAAGCGAGCTGGTGATAAGAAGCGCGGTTTGGCAGGTCATGTTTCGGAAGACGCATGACTCGACCTTCACCTCTCCCAAGCCCGTTGGGGAGTTGCAGCGATGAGACAAGATCGTAATCACGAAATTGGGAAGAAAAAGGGGGTAGAAATTACCAACAAATATACATTCTGAAATATCACATTGACATAAGTATTCAGACCCTTTACTCAGTACTTTGTTGAAGCACCTTTGGCAGCGATTGCAGCCTCAAGTCTTCTTGGGTATGACGCTACAAGCTTGGCACACCTGTATTTGGGGAGTTTCTCCCATTCTTTTCTGCAGATCCTCTCAAGCTATGAAGGTTGGATGGGGAGCTTCGCTGCACAGCTATTTTCAGGTATCTCCAGAGATGTTTGATCGGGTTCAAGTCCGGGCTCTGGCTGGGCCACTCAAGGACATTCAGAGACTTGTCCTGAAGCCACTCCTGCATTGTCTTGGCTGTGTGCTTAGGGTCGTTGTCCTATTGGAAAGTAAACCTTCGCCCCAGTCTGAGGTCCTGAGCGCTCTGGAGCATGTTTTCATCAAGTATCTCTCTGTACTTTGCTCCGTTCATCTTTCCCTCGATCCTGACTAGTCTCCAGATTAAGAATGACATTGAACCTTAGACACTCAAATACATTAACATGTCATCTTAAAGGCCCAGTGCATTCAAAAACATGATTGTCCTGTGTTTTATACATATTTCCACACTATGAGGTTGGAATAATACTGTGAAATTGTGAAAATGATAATATCCTTTTAGTGTAAGAGCTGTTTGAAAAGTGCCAGAAATGTCAGCCTGTTTTGGTGGGATGGAGTTTTGGCCTTCCATGGTGACATCACCAGGCGGTAAATTAGTTAATAGACCAATAAGAAATAGAGTTCCAAACCTCTCTGCCAATAACAGCAAATTTTCGGTTTTCCCCTCCCCACTCAGACTACTCCCAGACAGTCCTAACAAAATGATTGCTTGAGAAATTGACCCTTCGCTAAGCCCCGCCCCAGAATTTTGGGCAACCAATCGCAGCGATCCAATGGATAGCAACTGTCGTCGAGTCCGACACGCTCACGTTTCAAATGCATGAAAGCCAATGAGAGCTATGGCAAAACTGAGAGTTTTCATAAAAAAAATTGCTTAAATTGTTTAAATAGCTAAATTGTTTAAACAGTGTACCTGGGGTACTTGCTACTGTGATTCCTGAAATGCAGAGCCTGTTGGAGTATTTTTCAAATCTGAAATTATACTTTTGTTACATTGTTTGCTAGCTCAGCTGGTTAGTTAGCGCTCAGTCTCTTTGACCACCAAACGTTATTAACGCTAGCTAGCCAGCCAGTTAATATAACTTGTTTTCTCTAAATGTATGTTAGCTAGCTAAGTTTGCTATATTATGAATAGGACTATCATCTGCTGTCGACATCAGGATACGACTTGAGAGAACTAGTTAGCTCCAAAAGTAGCTTTGACTGCATGACAGTGCATCCAGCCATCCAGTGGCTAGCCACACTACAGACGTCATTGTACCAGGTTCCCGTGAAGCAATTGTAATGACAGTCCACCACAACATACCTGGTAGTCTCCTGATTAGCAAGGGGTAGTCTGTGTTTAATTTGATTGTGTATTAAAAACACAGTTTGAGATCGTTGTGAGTTTGTTTTTCTCCAGTAGTTTGAATTGGGAATGGAGCTTCCCAGGAAAATGTTGTCTGAGGTTGCAACAGTAACCAAAGGGGGCAGGGCTTAGCAAAGGGCAATTGACCCTTCGCTAAGAAGCAATTTTTGTTTCTTACTCAACATTTTAATTGAAAACAGTAAGGTGCTTTATTGTTGTTTCATTGTTACCCACAAATGATTTGATATTGAGATAATAGCTGCATTGGACCTTTAACATCAGTTGAGCTCAATAAAGGTACGTTTAAAACTAGACTGGCAACTATTGAACGTTTTACTACAGAATGCATTTGAGATTACACTTGATTCAATGAAATGAAGCCTAATAGAGGAGACAAAGCAGACAGGATATTTTTCTTTGTTTTAGGGTTGTGGTTTGTTATTTCCTATGGGCACAGGACCACTGGGCACGACCCTGGCTCTCTCTCCATTCCGCCCTCCATCCCTTCCTCTCTCCCTCCCCAGTCCTCAAAATCCTTCCTGTTTGTTCAGATGTGGCCCAGGCAATTATGATCAGGCAGTATTCCAGACAGCCCCGGCCTTATCAGGACCCTCGTTTGCTCCCTGGAAACTCCAGAATGAGAGTGAGAGAGAGCAACTAATTTGGAGAGGAGGAAGAGACGCATTAGGCCCTGGCCTTTGGCCATCCTAATGGACAGACAGAGCAGACCTGCTGCCTGCCTTCTCATCTCCCTCGTGACCCTTTGTCCCTCGCGCCCCACAGCACATCAGACAAGGCAAAACGGTCACAGCCAAGTTGGCCTCCGACTGACTACATACAAGACTACTTAATCAGAGGGACAAAGGTAATAGTCTCCTACTTTGTCTGTTATTCTTGCAGGTGGGGGTCGTACCTTACGAGAATGGCTGTGCCCAACGAGATGTAGTGCTGCACATGCTTTCCTCGCTTTTGGCTGTCTACTTAAGGCCTGATGAATTTGGTGAAAGAGTTTGATTTGTAAGGATTCTGCCAAAAGTGCTCTGCTTTCACCTGCCAACTCCTGCCCCGCTGTCAGGGACAAGTGCAGATGAGAATGACTCTCTTTTGTGTCTTTCTTTCCCCATACTGACGGCCAGATTGCAGATGCGGCGTGTGTGTGTACAGCAGCTGAATGGCGAGGCCACTGGACAGCAGTGTGGAGGCTGCCATCATCTGCCACCCCGCTGTCTCCCTCACAAATACCCCCAGGTGATGGGCTGGCTGCAGAAAACACACAGTCCACCCCGACTGACGCTCGCTGCCTCCCTCTCCACAGAGTCCAGTATTTCACTTCTAATCATTAATTAGTCTCTCTCTCCCTCTCTCCCTCTCTCCCTCCCTCCCTCCCAGTGGAGGTGTGAAAATTTGCTTTTCTTTTCACAACTTTGCAAACACCTGATCCCCCTCCCTATAAGTACGCTGTGATTTCTACCTCCACGTTCCATTATTCCTAATCAGTTGTAATTGTGTGTTAAGGAATATTGTGTTGTGATAAACAGATATTGTATCTGACTTCAACCTGGAAGGTAAACCCAAGGGAGCCACAGTCACTACGGTGGTGCTCAAACTTGTCAGACAAAAGCATGTGAGACAGATTTTAACACCATAGTGTGTGTGTGTGTGTGTGTGTGTGTGTGTGTGTGTGTGTGTACGCAGCTGGTGTGGTGACACATACAGTCCCTTACCTCCTATCTTTGTTTCCACAGACGAGCATGTGAGGAGGGCTGTCTCTCAGGTTGACACAGGAGAAGTCTCCCGCTGAGTTCCCCACAGACATCTCCGACTGGCCCGTCTCTAGGCTGTACACCTGGATCTGAACACACACACACCAACACAGTTAAGACTCATTCACTACTGTTGCAAAAGTTAGCATCAGAGGCAACACATAGAAACAGAGAGTTATTTGGCAATGGCTACAGACATATTTATTCATCCCTGAACACTGCAGGAAGAGTTAGACAACACCTGCATATGAGCAGATAAAATGCTATTGAGTGAGTCATTCAGCAGTGGATACAGCAGAGTAAATAGTAATAATGTCCTCTAAATCCAGAAACAGCATCAGACTTAAAGCAGTAAAGACAAGTTGATCTTCACAACTTCCTAGTCACGCACACAGGTGGCTGGGCGATCTGGACGAAATCCATATCACGATATATTGACTGAATTATCACGATAACAATAACTAGAAAGATACGTTTATAAAACATTAATGTGAACCAGTTATCATTTTTTTTATATTACCTTAAAACTAGGCTACTACTATTACTTTGAATGTTGTAGCTATCAATTGTTCCATTAACAATCACCCATATTAGCAGGCTTCTTTCATTTGAAACTTCACATTTCTCCAGTATAGGCTTCTTATCGTAATGAACAATTTCAGCAAAATGTCCACGATAAGTGGTCGGTTCAGTCGGTGTCGACAATCTTAGGTTTATCGTCCCAGCGCTAACACCAACACACCCTAATAAACACAGCACTATTGGCAAAGTCTGAGAGCTACTGAATTATGCATGCCATTATGAATCTCCCAAGATGCCTTTCAGAAGTGTGCTGAGTTAAAAGCCCTCTGAGAATCACTAACACTTGTCTGCTGTCTGTCTGGTTGATCTCCTAGACTCATCCCAACACTTTCCTTCACCTCACATTTACAAAGGAATTCATCTCTGTGCTGTTAACAGGCAGAAGAAAATACTTTGTAACATATACTAGACTGTTTTCAGGTGGGTATGTGGAGAGCCAAGCACAGTGCTTGGATCAATACCAACAGGTTATCAGGATGAATGAGTGAACATAGAAGAATGCTCAAAAGTGGGGAAATTAAGATCATCTAAAAGAAATGCAATGGTTCCATGTCAATAATCATAAACACTACCTTTTCTTTGCAAATAGATTTAGCTAAGAATGCAGTATTGCAAAGCTAAATTAAAACAAGTTTGACAATGATAGGAGGGAAATTGACCCACACACATCCCTATTAATTCAAATAGAACAATGTATTGTGTTCCCTCCAGTTCCATAACAAAAACCTTTTAAAATGCTTAAAATGATGTCATCTGGCTGTGCTATAATTGGTCAATTAGTGGCTGGAGCTGTTCCCTTTCAAAACAACATTAAACATACTAGCCGACGGTCATGCAGCCGGGTGAATGAATAGAGGCGATAGATAAAGACATTAAACAAAGGATGAGAGAGAGAGAGATGGATAAGAGAGAGAGAGTGGGGAGGGGAACAAAAGAGAGAGAAGGGGAAGAGAAGAAAGAGAGTGCGTAAGAGAGAGAGGGAAAGAGAGATAGAGATGAAGAGGAAAGAGAGCAGGCAGCATGATGGAAGGCTTGAGAAGGTGCCAGCTGTTTTGTGTCTCCTATTTGGGCCACACAGCCTTAATTGTGAGACGGCCCTAAGCGGAGCAAGCCAAAAAATCACACACAGGACACACAGACGGACGGACAGACACACACAGGACTTTGAAAGGACAGCTTTATGGGATTTGGACTGGGGGGTAGGAGGAAAGGGAAGGAGAGGTAAGGGGGCTGTCTGCCTGCATGCCTTTTTTTTCGATGAATCATCACAGTTTTTGGGAGGAGGTTTGATTAAAAAGCAGCCCAAACCAGCTATTATGTGGAGGAGCTGTAAGGGCAGTTTGAAGCTAATGTCCAAGCAGTTAAAGGGGCGCTTCAGCATGTGTTGATGAAAGGAATCATGGCTTGGCTACAGCAGTCATCAGGTTACTGTGCCTGATAGATTCCTAGTGGGTTAGAAAAAAAGAAACCACTAATCTATCATTTGTCCTAACGCACTCCCTTTGTTTGGAAAATAAACACAAACGTCCCTTGTCTATTGTCAAATAACGCAATGAGTTGATGAGTTCATGTTGCATTAGACTTTCAGGTGCATTGTTTAAATGTGATTTTCCTATATTTTTTCGAATGATATTTCCACACTATGAGGTCGAAATAACACTCTGCAATTGATGATAATGCCATTTTTGTGTAAGAGCTGTTTGGGAAAAAAATCCTGGAATTTCAGCCTCTTCAGACGGGATGGAACTTTTGGCCAACATCATGACGTCACAATGTGATTTGATTATAATAGATCAATGACTGTTAATCTGGGTAAGGGGGTGGGCTCTGGACCATCCTATCAGCCAATCAGGGCTGTGTATGTAAATATCTTCACATTTCTTTCCTAACGCCCACACAGACTGGACCAAAGGAGGCTCAGGGAAATAAATTATTACAAATATATTTTGGAGTTATTTTAAATAAACACACAAAGTGATGATTTAAAAACATAAATCACAAAGACTGCATGGGAGCTTTAAGCGAATGCTTTTAAACACAAGTTGATCTACAGAACATAGACTACTAAACAGACACTGACATGGACATAAATTACGCTCACAGAGTTTGAAGATATGCCTACAAAGCAACGTCAGAAGTTAATCAAGACCACTGATCTAAACGACAAATAGATCCTAACGGAACAGGTCACACTTTCCCCTGAACAAATATACACTGAGTGTACAAAACAGTAGGAACACCTGCTCTTTACATTACATAGAATGGTGAATCCAGGTGAAAGCTATGATCCCTTATTGATGTCACCTATTAAATACACTTCAATCAGTATAGATGAAGGGGAGGAGACAGGTTAAAGAAGGATGACAATTGAGACATGGATTGTGTTTGTGTGCCATTCAGAGGGTGAATGGGCAAGACAAAAGATTTACAGTAAGTGCCTTTGAATGGGATATGGTAGTAGGTGCCAAGAGCAACGGTTTGAGTGGGTCAAGAACTACAACACTGCTGGGTTTTTTACGATCAACAGTTTGCCCTGTGTATCAAGAATACTCCACTACCCAAAAGACATTCAGCCAACTTGACACAACTGTGGGAAGTATTGGAGTCGACATGGGCCGGCATCCCTGTGGAACGCTTTCGACACCTTGTAGAGTCCATGCCCCACGAATTGAGGCTGTACTGAGGGCAAAAGGGGGTGCAACTCAATATTAGGAAGGTGTTCCTAATGTTCTGTACACTCAGTGTACATAATGGTTCTGTTCTGTGTAATCTATGTAATGGTTGTGTTCTGTGTTAGGTCTATAAGCCGTGCCGCTGGTGGTTTTACCAGCTCTATCTGGGTGGCCGGAGGATACAGGGTAACAGGAGCCCAGTAGAGAGGAGCTGAGCAGATGTCCAGACCCCCAGGTCCACTAGCAGGGAAGGGATTGGGGAGTTGGGGGTGCAGGTCCCCTGGCATGGGAGAGGAAGTAGTAATGAGGACCTGGAGACTGACTCTGCTAGCTGACTGGCCGACTCTCGCAGACACCAGACAGACATAGACAGGCCAATAGACAGAGTCATGAACAAGACACAGATATAGACATAAGACACAGACATAGACACTTAGCAACAGGCACATGTAAAAGAGAGACAGGAAAGGCGAACGGACAGACAGACAAGAGAAGAGTGGCACATCGTTTGACCTGGATAACAAAGACAATTCATGTCACAATTCATCTAAAACATTTAGCTAATAGAAAAGCAACCAATCGTAGTGATGATTCACTTTTCAGTGTGAAAAGAGAGAGATAACATGTCTGGATGCCACCTCCATTTCTTTGACAGCTTTTAATTAGGCATATGTCTTCTCATTAAATAGCATATAACACATTCTGCCTCGCCAGTTGGCAATTCTTACTTCCCTCTTCGCAGTAGGAAAATGCTGTCAGAAACACTATGAAACCGATAGACTTGTTAAAGCAGATTAAAATGTTTAATTTTGTACGTTTAATTAGTGAAGGGAAAACGTGACAATCATGAATTGGCATAATTTAGTGAAGATGAGCTAGCTAGGTCTATAGTGGAGGAAGGAAACAAAAGAAAACTCAATGCTCAATCTAATACATGATCACTACCATATAAAATATAAAAAATTTGAAATGTTTCCTTAGAATATTTGATAGGATAGTGAAACTATTCAAGTAGCCGACACTATTTTGGACAGAAAGACACACCATCAAAATGTGTGCCGGAGCTGGTAGGCTATATGACGTCTCTCTTGATTGTAGAAGAAGAACTCCAGTTCATAATATGGTTTAGTTTAGCTGTAATATCTGTTAACCCGGAAGTAAAATCGAGTGTAATTTGGTCTGCTGGGTGATCAACTTCTGTGTTCATACGTGTTAGAAATAGATAGTTCCGGCAAAAGCCCCCCCCCCCCCCCCCCCCCCCCTTTCCGATCCGTGTGGGCACATGCGCGAAGCACTCGAGGCAAAGCAGTAGAAGCACCGCCTTCGCCCAATCCTGATACGTCCAAATAACCAGTGATGAAAACCCCCAAAACTGAACTAATGTAGCTCGTTATCTCACGCATCCCATTCAGTCCCGGCAGATTCTTCAGTCTACACGCAGAATCTGCCCATGGGAGATCAGTTTAGCTGTAACCTTGAGAGGAAGCACTGCAGCAAAGTTATCCCTCAAACTTTCTCGAAGGTCCACTATGTATAGTCAGCTCAGCTATCCCCATTGAGACCATGTCTGTGCCTCGATCTAGGTTGAGCAAAACTAAACATGGTGGTGTTCGCCTTAGCAATCTCACTGGAATAAAGACCTCCTCCATTCCTGTCATTATTGAAAGAGATTGTGATATCTCACATCTCAAAATAGGGCTACTTAATGTTAGATCCCTCACTTCCAAGGAAGTTATGGTCAATGAACTAATCACTGATCATAATCTTGATGTGATTGGCCAGACTGAAACATGGCTTAAGCCTGATGAATTTACTGTGTTAAATGAGGCCTCTCCTCCTGGTTACACTAGTGACCATATCCCCCGCGCATCCCGCAAAGGCGGAGATTTACGATAGCAGATGTCAATTTACCCCCCCCCCCAAAATGACAGCGTTTTCATCTTTTGAGCTTCTAGTAATGAAATCTATGCAGCCTACTCAATCACTTTTTATAGCTACTGTTTACAGGCCTCCTGGGCCGTATAGAGTTCCTCACTGAGTTCCTTGAATTCCTATCGGACCTTGTAGTCATGGCAGATAATATTCATGGAAAAGTCCACAGACCCACTCTTTCGCTTTCGGAGCCATCATTGTCTCAGTGGGTTTTGTCCAACATGTCTCCGGACCTACTCATTGCCACAGTCATACCCTGGATCTAGTTTTGTCCCGTGAAATAAATATTGTGGATCTAAAAAAATATATATCTCATAACCCTGGAAAAAAATTGGGTGGTTGTCCCACTGGCTATCCTAAGTTGAATGCACCAATTTGTAAGTCGCTCTGGATAAGAGCGTCTGCTAAATGACTTAAATGTAAATGTAAAATTACGTTTGCAATCGCAATAAATAATCTGCTCAGACCCCAACCAAGGACCATCAAAAGCCGTGCTATAAATTCTCGGACAACCCAAAGATTCCTAGAGGCCCTTCCAGACTCCCTCCACCTACTCAAGGACGTCAGAGTACAAAAATCAGTTAACGACCTAACTGAGGATCTAAATTTAACTTTGCGTAATACCCTAGATGCAGTCGCACCCCTAAAAACAAAAAACATTTGTCACAAGAAACTAGCTCCCTGGTATACAGAAAATACCTGAGCCCTGAAGCAAGCCTCCAGAAAATTGGAACGGAAATGGCGCTCCACCAAACTGGAAGTCTTCCTACTTGCTTGGAAAGAAAGTACAGAGCAATATCGAAGAGCCCTCACTGCAGCTCGATTATCCTATTTTTCCAACCTAATTGAGGACAATAAGAACAATCATAAAATGTCTATTTGATACTGTCGCAAAGCTAACTAAAAAGCAGCATTCCCCAAGAGAGGATGCCTTTCACTTCAGCAGTGATGAATTCATGAACTTCGACGAAAAGATCTTGATCATTAGAAAGCAAATTACAGACTCCTCTTTGAATCTGTGTATTTCTCCAAAGCTCAGCTGTCCTGAGTCTGCACGAAACTGCCAGGACCTAGGATCAATGGAGACACTCAAGTATTTTTAAATCCTATATCTCTTGACACATTCATGAAAATAGTCATGGCCTCTAAACCTTCAAGCTGCATACTGGACCCTATTCCAACTAAACTACTGAAATAGCTATTTCCTGTGCTTGGCCCTCCTATGTTGAACATAATAAATGGCTCCCTATCCACTGTATGTGTACCAAACTCACTAAAAGTGACAGTAATAAAGCCTCTCTTGAAAAAGCCAAACCTTGACCCAGAAAATGTAAGAAACTATCGTCCTTTATCGAATCTCCCATTCCTCCCCCCAAAAATTGAAAAAGCTGTTGTGCAGCAACTTACTGCCTTCCAACTTACTGCCTACTGACAAAAAATGTATACGAAACGCTTCAGTCTGGTTTTAGACCCCATCATAGCACTGAGACCGCACTCGTGAAGGTGGTAAATTACCTTTTAATGGCGTCAGACCAACGCTCTGCATCTGTCCTCTTGCTCCTAGACCTTAGTGCTGCTTTTGACACCATCGATCACCACATTCTTTTGGAGAGATTGGAAACCTTAATTGGTCTACACGGACAAGTTATTGCCTGGTTTAGATCTTATCTGTCGGAAAGATATCAGTTTGTCTCTGTGGATGGTTTGTCCTCTGACAAATCAATTGTCAGTTTTGGTGTTCCTCAAGGTTCCGTTTTAGGACCACTATTGTTTTCACTATATATTTTACCTCTTGGTGACGTCATTCGGAAACACAATGTTAACTTTCATTGCTATGTGGATGACACACAGCTGTACATTTCGATGAAACATGGTGAAGCCCCAAAATTGCCTACCCTGGAAGCCTGTGTTTCAGACATAAGGAAGTGGATGGCGGCAAATGTCTTACTTTTAAACTCGGACAAAACTAGATGCTAGTTCTAGGTCCCAAGAAACAAAGGGATCTTCTGTTGGAGCTGACAATTAATCTTGACGCTTGTAGACCTCAGCGTTACTCTGGACCCTGATCTCTCTTTTGACAAACGTATCAAGAATATTTCAAGGACAGCTTTTTTCCATCTTCATAACATTGCAAAAATCAGAAACTTTTTGTCCAAAAATGATGCAGAAAAGCTAATCCATGCTTTAGTCACTTCAAGATTAGACTACTGCAATGCTTGACTCTCCGGCTACCTGGATAAAGCACTAAATAAACTTCAGTTAGTGCTAAACACAACTGCTACAATCTTGACTAGAACCAAACAATTTGATCATATTCCTCCAGTGCTAGCCTGGATTTCAAGGTTTTACTGCTAACTTACAAAGCATTACATGGGCTTGCTCCTACCCATCTCTCCGATTTGGTCCTGCCGTACATACCTACACGTACACTACGGTCACAAGACGCAGGCCTCCTTATTGTCCCTAGAATTTCTAAGCAAACAGCTGGAGGCAGGGCTTTCTCCTATAGAGCTCAATTTTTATGGAATGGTCTGCCTAGCCATGTGAGAGACACAGACTTTGTCTTGACTTTTAAGTATTTACTGAAGACTCATCTCTTCAGAAGGTCCTATGATTGAGTGTAGTCTGGCCCAGGTGTGCGAAGGTGAACAGAAAGGCACAGGAGCAGCAAACCACCCTTGCTGTCTCTGCCTGGCCGGTTCCTGACTCTCCATTGGGATTCTCTGCCTCTGACCCTATTACGGGGGCTTAGTCACTGGCTTACTGTTGCTTTCCATGCCGTCCCTAGGAGGGGTGCATCACTTGAGTGGGTTGAGTCACTGACGTGATCTTCCTGTCCGGTTTGTTGGCCCCTCGGGCTCGTGCAGTGGAGGAGATCTTTGTGGGCTGTACTCGGCCCTGTTCGGGGGTATCGTCGGACGGGGCCACAGTGTCTCCCGACCCCCCCCAGTCTCAGCCTCCAGTATCTATGCTGCAACAGTCTATGTTCGTTCGTTCGTTCGCTCTCTCTCTCTCTCTCTCTCTCATATCCCGGAGGACCTGAGCCCTAGGACCATGCCTCAGGACTACCTGGCCTGATGACTCCTTGCTGTCCCGAGTCCACCTGGTCGTGCTGCTGCTCCAGTTTCCACTCTTCTGCCTGCGGCTATGGAACCCTGACCTGTTCACCGGACGTTCTACCTTGTCCCAGACCTGCTGTTTTCAACTCTCTCTACCGCACCTGCTATTTCAACCTCTAAATGCCCAGCTATGAAAAGCCAAGTGACATTTACTCCTGATGTACTGACCTGTTGCAACCTCTACAACCACTGTGATTATTATTTGACCCTGCTGGTAATCTATGAACGTTTGAACTTCTTGGAGAAAAATCTGGCCTTAATGGCCATGTCCTGTCATAATCTCCACCCGGCACAGCCAGAATGGGACTGGCCACCCCTCAGAGCCTGGTTCCTCTCTAGGTTTCTTCCTATGGAGTTTTTCCTAGCCACCGTGCTTCTACATCTGCATTGCTTGCTGTTTGAGGTTTTAGGCTGGGTTTCTGTATAGCACTTTGTGACATCTGCTGATGTAAAAATGGCTTTATAAATCAAATTTGATTGAATTTGAATTTGACTATGTGCTGCGGTAAGGCTAATATAACATCATCAGCAATGAGAACATTGTAATGATGTCAGGGGGAGAGTCTGCCAAAGACCTGTCTAACCAACAGAGAGAGGCTCCATTTGGGACCGGTCCCTAGTCACTTGACTAATTACTTAAGTACCAGTATAGGTGCCTAAACAAAACATACAACTTTTAGAGGAGAGAGACAGACTGAGGTTTTTAAGTAAGTGGGGTTTTGAAACAGTGAGATATTCCTTTTGTCACAAAACACAGGAAAAAAAACATCTCCTTGCAAAGATTTGTCTTGAAATACACTGAAAAGCATGACAATTTACTTATGATGCCCAAACCTGATCCCTGAGCAACTTTTGTCTCCTGGGTATGTAATCTGCAGAGGGATAAGTAAAGGCACGAGCCTCAGTTAGGAGCAGAGTCCTAAGATACAAGATATTAATAGATGCAAACAGCAGCTTCTTTGGGAACAAGAGACTAAACTTGTTTAGTATGTGTGTGTATGTGTGTGTGAGTGAGTTTGTGCGTTAAGAGAGTAAATAATACAGTAATTAGGAACAATACCCAGTAGGACTAGTTCAGCTATTTCTATGCCCACAATCCCCAGCGGGTGGACCCATTTCTGTCCCAGGATCCCCAAGCTGGGGTGCACCACCCCATTGGGGTTCCAGAGACTCTAAATACACTCAGATTGGTGCATTGTTACTCAGACTCAGAGAGATGCAGGTTTCAGGTGACATAATAGGGTTGCAATTCATTTCGGGCTTAAATTCAACCCTATAGTAACATCAGTAAAAGCCTAATTCAAGGTTGGCCAATTTGTAGCCGTCCAAATGTGTTGAGTGCTCAGAAACATAATGGTGTGGGCTTCAGTATTGGCTTTGCGCATTGCTTTGGCATACCTACCTCAATATAACCATGTTCCCAACTCCAGGGACAGTGGAACAAAAGTCACAGCTGGGTTGACTCATTAGGCATCAAAAGAAGATTTGTGGAAAACAGCCTGGAACTAAAGGGGTCTGTCTACCTTATCTTTATTTGCAAAGTTGTGCCCTGATCAATAGGACCATGTAAAAAGACTGTTTTAGTACACTGTTGATGCACCCACCTTGTTGCCTCCATCGTTCATTGCCCAGCCACAGCTCTTGACCCCCAGGGCAGCGTGAGAGGCCGAGGCATCCAGACAGGTGATGGGGTGGCCGTAGACGGTGTGGAGCACCCGGGGCTCCAAGTCCTCAGGGGCCAGCAGGTACACCGTATCCCCAGCAGACAGGGCCACCAGGGGGCCACTGTCCCCTCCTCGCCCCACGGCCCCTGGCACCACCACCATAGACTCCACCTGGGACCAGAGCCTCTGTTAGAACAAGTTATAACAAATGTATTCAGCCTGCTGACTACTGTCACAAGGAGTGAGACGTCTAAAGTAGCTCCCATATGAAAAGTCCAATTGCACTGTTAATGGTATAATGGATTGACTGTGACAGAGGGTTGGAATTGAAATCACAACAGCACACTAGATCAATGTAGACACCCTATCATTGCTACAGGGAATTCTATCATAATCCTCATTAAAATGATGAAGCTGATGGTGCTTTTCCAGACAAATCAGAGAGACAGACAGAGAGACAGAAAGACAGAAAGAGAGCGAGGTAGACTCACAGGTTTGGGCAGCGTAGCCTGGCAGAGGGTCCTCCAGTAGCCCCTGTCATCAGGCTGGTCCAGCCGGATGTCTAGCCCAGCAGCAGTAGCCAAGGTGAGGCTCTCCAGGCTCAGAGCCAGGGCGTGGACCCTCCCAGGGATCTGGAAGTGGTGGACGGGCTCCTGTCCCGTCTCTGTGCTCCACACATCCACACATCCTACACAGGAGCAGAATAGACAGTTAACCTGTATCCAAAGACTTCTCAGTGTGGCCATCCATGTGTCCATACACCTTAGTGGAACTTGGTAATAAAGTGTGAACTGTATATCTGCCTCCTGCCGGTCATTATCATGCCTTCTAACAGAGGCACCAGGGTTATTATACCTATCAAAGCCGGCACTTCTTTCGAAGACCACGACCAACAGGTGGCGCTCCTTTTCACTGCCCTAAACTGGAAGGCTAGCCAGTGGAATAGCCGCAAAGTTGACTGCAGAGTTGAGGACCCTCACTCACCATCGTCGTAGGCAGCCACAGCCACAGTGTTGTTGACCCGGACGTGACTGACGTGAGGTCTGGGGGTGACGTCTGCCGTCAGGGGGCTGGGCTTCAGGAAGGAGGCTGCAGAGTCCCAGTGGAGGGTGTCCCACAGTCTCACGTCCCCTGATGTGTACCTGAGGGGACAAAAAACTATGTAAGGGACGCTACATTTAATTTTGAAATGACCAGCATGTCTAAGGCTGTGTTTAGACAAGCAGCCCAATTCTGATCTTTTTTTTCACTAATTGGTTTTCTGAAATATATTGGATGTTAAAATATCTGATGTAATTGGTCAAAATACTAATTAGTGGAAAAAATATCAGAACTGGGCTGCCTGTCTAAACGCAACCTAAGAAGCATGAGGATGCGTCTTAATTTTTCCTATTCGATATGTTAACTGTGAACCATGGTAACCATCCGTGCATTATTATGTGAATATGAGTAGATGTCTGTGTGACTGTAAATGGGTGGGTGGTGATGTGGTTCAAATGTGTTGTGAGTATCTGTGAGTCTCAGTCAATTGGAGGCATGGCAGAGATAACACAGCCTTTCCAGGGGGTGGGTATGGTGGCAGCTGAGTCCTTCACAGCCGGCCTGGGACGAGCCACTGAGACACGCCACCCCAGGCCCAGCCATATACCCCAGCACCAGCTGCCCTGGGCTCCCTCAGACAGACAGTGGCCCTCTCTGGTGCTGGAGCCAGGATGTGGTTCAGGACTCGTGCTGAGCTGGGCAGCTGGAGAGAGCTGCAGACTGACAACCACAGAGAGTGGCACCAAAGGGCTGCCGGATAAACCCTTTCAGCTATCTAGCTACTAACAACACTGTGGCACAAATAACACGGTACGATAGCTAGCTTCCATCCCCCTCATTAACTTAAACCACATCGGCTAGCTACTGTACCACCTACTCCACTCAGCATCCGTATCCCAACATGAGGAAACAAGAGACAGAGAGACAGATAGAGAGGGGGAAAGGGGGCTAAAACACTAGATAACAACAGGCGCACACTCTACATAATTAGTGTATAATCTTTCAGCCAAGAATCAACAGGAGAAATGAAGGTCTCAGCTGGCACTTTTCCTCACCCAAATAATCTCTGGAAACTTCTGACATATCAATTACAAGCAAGATAACAACCTACAGTTCTGCTTCATCAATGCATCTACAAGATACTGTATAAAAATGAGAGAAATATTACATTATGTGTCATTACAAAATGTCCACTAAAACGCAACCCTGGTTAAACAAGGATCCCAATTTCAAAGTGATGCTAAACTCTACAATGAGTATCTTAGAAAATCTGTGATCCAAATCTCTAGGTGGGAATAGATTTAGGTAGAAAGAATTTGCAGCAGCAGGCAGCCCTCTGCCTCTATTGTCTGTGTACTCTGAGGCTGAGTCCCAAACGGCACCCTATTCTTAAAAAAAAATATATATATATATATAGATCACTACTTTTGACCAGGGCCGATAGGGGCTCTGGTCAAAAGCAGTGCGATATCTATGTAGGGAATAGGAAGCCATTTGGGACACAGCCTCAGAGTTCATCGGGGCCAGGGGAGAATTTAAATCAGACCATCCCCTGGGCCCCAGCCTCCTGATACAACGTTTACCAGATTCATTTCAGCTGCTGAGTACTCAAGTCACGCAATCATCCTCCATACAATGGGCCCAGTCAGTTTAAGTAGCTTACTTCATAAAACAGTGAGAATCCACACCAGGACATTAAAATAAAAAAATCCACAACAGATTGAATTAAAAGAGTTTGAGAAAAAAAGACAAATGGTGCATCTCTTTTAGTACAAAGTCAGTACAGCAGCACAATTTCTATCGATCTACCTTTATGGGGCTGAAAACGTACTGATCACCACAGCTGCTTGCCCCTCCTGACACTAAAAACTAGGGACGGGCATTTTAAATGATTTCACTATTAAATTAATATCATGTTTGTTTTTTCCGGAATCCAGATAGTCTAAGTTCCAACAACAAAAACTATTTTTGCTCTACTCTCTTGACCAATAAGAATGATGCAACATGCCACAACAGCAGACAGTGTGCAGTTGTTTTCAGGGTACTATATCGGTAGTTTTTGGCTAACAGTAGACTAGGCTAATAGCAACAGTGGAAGACAAGTCTGATGTTGAACTGATTCTGAAAAAATAAATAAAATAAAAGCTTTCTGGTGAGTATTTTGCATCTGTGTCAGGTCTTGTGGGCCCTGCATTGGTGCGCGCCTGTAGGCTAATCGTTATTTCAAGTGGGGAAAATACCATACCGTTGTCAGGGCTGGCCGGAGGGCTAAATGCACTATGATAGTAAAATGCCCTTCATTATAAAACACAACCCATAACCCATAGCGCATGAGAGAGAAAATTAGCTTGAAAAGAAAACAATCACGCTGTACGTCCTCAGAACTGTAAGCTACATTTACAGTGTGAAACTGTAAATAATGTTCTATCAAAGCCACGTGATGGCTGAAGCAGCAGTAGCTTAATGTGCCATACATAAACACTACATTCTAAAGTTTGTTGTTTTATTAAATTAGGCATTTCAAATGTCATGATATATCCTTGTGTGTAACAATGTAACCTGGACAATTTAAATTCAGATCAAGCTTTTTCATTGTTAAAATAAGCATTCAAAAAGTGTTGGAATACTAACGTCTGTTTGGATATCTGGATATTCGATTAAACGTGCCCATCCCTAATAAAAACAGGTTATATTATATATTACCCAGCAACAACATAGCTGTCACAGGAACTGACATCACACAATACTTTCCCCAGCTCGTACTGCAGTTGGCTGACTGATCCAACACGATTCTAGGAGTAGGAAGAGACACACAAAACGTTTAGTTTCTAGACGTCCCTATGTAATTACAATGTTGTTGCTACAGTTAATACTGTACAGTCAGATGGGTATAAGAGCAACTTCAGGTGAAGTGTTGCCAAAGTGTCATCTCAGAAATGCATTTAGTTAACACACACACCTATCTAACTGAACCCCTACCTTCCAGTTGGAGCGCACAGTGTTCTCAGAGTTCCTGCAGTCTCGTAATGTGCTCTTCCAGCAGGGGGAGTCAGAGACAGAGGCACCGTGGTGATAACCCTCTTTCAGACACATCCTAAACCATAGCACCTCATCCTCCGCCAGGACCCCCCACGCCTTGCTCACCTGTGGAAGTATCGGAGAGGCTATAATTAATACTCATTGATCATCATGTACTGTACATCAGAGTAGGTTAAACTAAACAGTGTAAGGTCAATATTCAGACCTATGTTTCAAGTGACAACAGAGTCATCTATGAGTTTTATGTGATTGATAATCATAGTTTACCTGAGCACATCGCCCCAGCTCTGTCCGACTGAGGTACTGGAAGATCTTCAGGGCTAACTCGTAGGGCAACTCAATGTCAAAGAAGGGAATGTCATTTGTCTCATTCTGCAAAAATAGCAAAATACCACTGAAATCGAAATCCACACAATGTCTAGTGGTAGGCTACCTCACAAAGACTAGCATCATCACCATCATCATCTTACCAGGTCTTGAATGAATTGATCCACTAATTTGTCCCCCTTGTTTATTTTCCTCTGAGGTTGTTGTTGGGCGGAGGTGTTACAGGCGTTTGTCAGACTGTGGTATTGTCTCTTCCTTTGAGTCCTCTCCTCCTGAATCCTCTCCAACAAGGGACTGGTCCTTCCATCCAGCAAGCCCTCAGCTATCGACACATACTCGGGTTGGTCCTCCTTTGGAGTTTTTGCTGCAGACAAAACTGCATCCTGTCCTCCCTTACTGCTCCCCTGTGATGTTGAATCCTGTCTTTTTTCTGGTTCACTTCTGTTCTGACCAAAATCTTCAAAATATCGTTTTAATTTAGTGTCTTCTCGACTTGGTTGACCAGTAACGTTACAGTTCGAAAATGCCTCGTTTTTATTCGTCAGTTCTTGCTTCCAATGCTCTCTGAACGCCTGAAGCTCGTCTTCTGCCATGTTTTTCTAACATAGTTACAACAACATATATCGTTGACTTGTTATTTTTAGACAAAATGACAAATTGGTAGGGTTAAATTGTTAGTAGCTGGCTAGGTAACTTACCTAGCTCATGCTAAAACTAAAACAAACACTAAAGTCCTGCAACAAAAACTGTCCGACTAGAGAGACTTTGCGATCGAATCGTTCCGCGATGTTCAATTCCTCATGGTTTATTATAGGTGTTCCGGACTGTGGTGGATTATTACGATATTTCATTTAAAAATAGAATAACTGGTACAATTAATAAGATTGACATGAAAATACATAATTATGAAATAACATAATAATTCCGATTGTGTACAATTTCTAGGTACAGTAGCCTACTCTCAAAACGGTATTGTACTTATTATATTAAATTCTATGATTATCCAATTAGACATCACTATTCGTCCATCCTATCAAACAAAAGGCTCGTCAGATAAGATGACACGACGGTTTTTTAAGAGTTAATGATTACCTCTCTCTTTTGGGAAAATATGATGTAAACCCCTCACACCATGTGACTCTTTAATCATGAATAACACAGAGAGAGAGGGAGAGAGAGCGAGAGAGAGAGAGAAAGAGAGAGAGAGAGAGAGAGAGAGAGAGAGAGAGAGAGAGGAAACACAGTCCAGATCTGATACGGACAGTAAAGAGGATACTTTTCTATAAGAGCAGATCAGAGAAGGGGACATATAAAGTAGATAAAGTGATTTTTAGAGAAGATGTGCTGGCTCCCGATAGACGAGGCTCTGCCTCTACCCCGCGACTTGATGGTCTGTGCCCAAGGACCCTCACCATGCTCCGGGACCCAGTCACTCGCCTCTCGCCTCAGGAGGATCGGGGATGAGATGGATAAAAACTGGACGGTTGGATCTCGAGATAACAGATATAACGAGAGACTTAAATTGAATAGAAAAGCCCACTTTAAAGGCTTTGTATGCACAGCAATACAAATCACCGTCCTCATGGTCTTTCTCAGAAAGCGACACCTGTAGATGCAAGTCACTGCAACGGCAAAACCAGCAACAGGTAAGCTTCACAGGTGCCCATCACATGTTGGCTTGGCTATGAGTAATGCAAACCAACTTGGTCGCGAGTAAAGACGCTTTATTGTCGACCCTCCCAACAATGTTCAGCAGGTGAATTGCGAAAATGTGGTTATAGATATTTAATTATAGTTGGTGTGAGATTTAGTTTATTTACAATATAGTATTTATCATTGATGAGTATTTATTTATACAATTGGGTATTTATCTCAATGAGTATTTATCATTGAGTTATTCATAAGCAAAACTATGTTGGGCTATTCACTGAGGATTTTCTTCATCTAAATATGATCTAAATGTTTATTATGCGCTCAAAACAATTAATATTTATCCACTTTAGATGGTGCCTTCAGGATCCTGAGGAGAGAGAGAGCTGTCAGATATTTGCACTGAGAAAAAGGATGCCAGCCAGCCACAGCCAGACGAGGTTTAGTGTGCACGGAGGTCATGCCACAAAATCGGCGAGACTGTTAGGAACAGGGTACATCTTCTTTGTACTTTGTTGGCTAAGGAAAATGTTGTGCTTCGGAATTCATGTGACATATCATTATGTCACAGAGATTAAGTAACATTTTCAGTTCTTATTTTATGGGTATAAGATGTAGTACTGCGTGAATACATGTTTAATTGCGTTATTTCCCAGTCTATTTTATTGTTTGACTCACTGCTTGGAATTCAGTAGGATTTAACAGACTTAAATTACGTTGGTATCATCAGTCTCACTTTCTGGCAGTTCTTCTGAGAATAGAACGGTGACGTCATCTTCCCTTGACAGTACCGAAGGAAAAACGTACTATAATGTCATACGTGGACGACCTCACACTTAAATTATCGATGCACTAATATACGATGTCAATGACCTAACTGAAAAAGCATGTTTGTACTTTTTAGGCGCCCCATCTCTTGAGCATTCTTGAAATGGTGCTCTGTGGAGAAATTGCACTGTACTTTTTACATAAGCTTATGTAATAATTAGACACCATGCAAAGTCTGGATTCTATCCTTACTAAAGATGAAAATCAATTTGTATAGGTTTTTTTCTGCAGTCATTTTTATTAGGTGAATAATGCTGTTAGTTGTATCAAATACTTGATAACTGAAAAAATAAGTAAACTCAACTGTTCTATTTTTTGGAACTTTTGAAATGGGATGGGGGGCTCAGCATTGTTAAGACAGATAATGTTTATAAAACCATGCAAGAAATCTTGTGCAAAAATAAGGGCATGCTATTCATGTTTACAGTACATAAGCTGTTTTTCTATATCGCAAAAAAACTGTAGTTTTCAATTGCAGTGCTGAATCTGTGTCTTTTATAAAGAATGTGTTCATTACATGCTATTTAAATTTGTATTACATTGTGAATTCTGTGCTCACTCTAGATAATAAAATTTTCGAAGTAAAAATGCTTTCATGCCATCATTATTATGCAAAAAGTAATGACAACATAAAACATTCAACAAATGCTGAAAAATACTGCTTCAATCATGGTTTCACTGAAAAATCTGATACATACTGAAAGCACACAACTTGTGTTTGAGTTTCTCAAAAATGTTTTGGTAGGTCTGATGTCATCAAACATAAGCTGAATCTTTACTAGAAATCAGGTGAAATGTATAACAAATCAGTTGTTGAAGGAATGGTAACATTAGTGAGAGATCTATGAAATACATCAGCAAGGGAGCAATTGATGTACTGACATAAGCCACCCTGTACAAGAATACTGACCAATACCACACTGTGCTGTGCTGCATGGAGATAAGTTAATATTCTATTTCTTTGCAAGACATGGATGGCTGAGACAACTGTATGTACTGTAGAGTTTAGACTCAGTGTGGAGTCTAACGGGCAACACAGTAAGGGCATATTAAAATGAGTTATTCCTCCGTAATGTCCTCCAGTGTCCTGGAGGCATATGGCTGTCAATCCCAGCTACTAGATCTGGAAGTGGGCAGAGGTGGTGCCGTCCTTCCAGCAGTGCAGGTTCTCTATGACGGCAGAGCGGCAGAGTGGGCACGTTCACTCACGGTCTAACCCAAATACAGGCACTCCTCACAGAACACATGCTAGAGGGGAGAGACAAACACATGGGCTTTACCCATCTTTAGTAAGATGATTCAATCAAAGTGCAAGATCAGGCACAACCAATTGACAGTTGAAGGTTTACAACTGTAGCTAGTAATGTTACTTCAAATTGCTATAGGGCAGTGATGTTGGCTGATATTTGCTCTGATACTTTTCTTTACAGAAAGTAATAATTTCTCACCTGAGAACTGCAGAGAATTGTCAAGGCCCTGCGTATGGCTGATACTCGTCCACAGAGGTCAAATGACTGAAAGATAAACACATTACACAGTCAAGGCACTAGAATCGGGTGCATTCGTGCAGGGCTGGAACAAAAGCCTGCCTCTGGACCAGATTGGTGACCACTATATAATATCCTGAAACATTACAAATTCTTCCCCGAATACAGATTCCTTTCATTATGATTCCCTTTCTGCTCGACTTAATGACTCAAAACCGCCCCCACATTCTCTCATTTTCTATTCTTTAACCACTCGTGATGGGCAGTCCCATTTTGCAATATTCTGAGGACACACCACTGTGAACAGCTCTGACTCAATTTCTCCAAGTTCTCATGATCTCAATCCATAATACCTTGAAAGCTGTACACACCCATTTACTATGAATTTCTTGCACATACACACGCAAATAAGAGGTTTTAAAACATTTTTTTCCTGATCTTTCTTATATCTCTCAGATATAGGACAGACATTTCAGAACAAACTTCCTGTAGATTTTTGGGGGTGGACTATATGTTGTTCCATGTAGTGAATCTGTTGTTCAATGAGTTAAACAAAATAATTGTTTTTGATACTCTGCAGAGCGGCAGAGTGGGCACGTTCACTCACGGTCTAATCCAAATACAGGCACTCCTCAAAGAACACATGCTAGGGGGGAGAGACAAACACATGGGCTTTACACTCATATTCACTTTGGTTTACTACAAGGAGTATGCATTGAGTATTGGTCAGTCATTCAATACAGTATTGATCAGTAAAGCCACAGAAATAAACAAAATAGTTATGGACAGTGACTTTAGCATCAAGCTACACCACACTAAGGCTCATACTGCTACAGTTAGCTTGTGGTTACCATGGCTAACACCAGCGAATGGTGTTATAGTCAAGTGCAGTGGATAGTAGCAGAGCTTATGGTTTGATGTATGCACTCTCACATGGCAGAGAAGAGCTATGGGGTTTCTGAAGTCACCCTGACAAATAGCACACACATCCCCGGCCTCACTGCACTGCTGGCTGCTGGCCCTCACCATAACTCTGTGGGTGATAGAGCATCAGGTAGGTGGTCACAAAGAGAAAATGATGTGTTTAAATTCCCATACCATACAGTAGGGATTATCAACTAGATTGCGGATGGTCGGAGGGCCAGAACATAATTACAAATAATTTGAAAACTGCAAATTGACCGCAAGAAGCCAGATATAATATTTGACTAAAACATAATAATTTCAAACCTTGCTTACATTTGTATATGATCACGTGTCTCTCTATTATGGAAATACTTGGGAACAGATATCCAAAATAGTAATAACTTGGAGCTGATTTCCTGGTGTTTTTACAGTTTTTCATGTCCCTCCCAAAATAATATATATATACAGTACCAGTCAAACGTTTGGACACACCTACTCATTCAAGGGTTTTTCTATATTTTTACTATTTTCTACATTGTAGAATAATAGTGAAGACATCAAAACTATGAAATAACACATATGGAATCATGTAGTAAACAAAAATGTGCTAAACAAATCTAAGTATATTTTATATTTGAGAATCTTCAAATAGCCACCCTTTGCCTTAGTGACAGCTTTAAACACGCTTGGCATTCTCTCAACCTGCTTCACCTGGAATGCTTTTCCAACAGTCTTGAAGGAGTTCGCACATATCCTGAGCACTTGTTGGCTGCTTTTCGTTCACTCTGCGGTCGGACTCATCCCAAACCATCTCAATTGGGTTGAGGTTGGGGGATTGTGGAGGCCAGGTCATCTGATGCAGTACTCCATCACTCTCCTTCTTGGTATAATAGCCCTTACACAGCCTGGAGGTGTGTTGGGTCATTGTCCTGTTGAAAAACAAAATGATAGTCCCACTAAGAGCAAACCAGATGGGATGGTGTATCGCTGTAGAATGCTTTGGTAGCCATGCTGGTTAAGTGTGCCTTGAATTATAAACAAATCACAGACAGTGTCACCAGCAAAGCACCCCCACAACATCACACCTCCTCCTCCATGCTTTACGGTGGGAAATACACATGTGGAGATCATCCGTTTACCCACACCGTGTCTCACAAACACACAGCGGTTGGAACCAAAAATCTCAAATTTGGAATCCAGACCAAAGGACACATTTCCACCGGTCTACTGTTGATTTCTCGTGTTTCTAGGCCCAAGCAGGTCTCTTCTTCTTATTGGTGTCCTTTAGTAGTGGTTTCTTTGCAGCAATTCGACCATGAAGGCCTGATTCACACAGTCCCCTCTGAACAGTTGATGTTGAGATGCGTGTTACTTGAACTCTGTGAAGCATTTATTTGGGCTGCAATTTCTGATGCTGGTAACTCTAATGAACTTATCCTCTGCAACAGAGTTAACTCTGGGCCTTCCATTCCTGTCGCAGTCCTCATGAGAGACAGTTTCATCATAGCACTTGATGGTTTTTGCGACTGCACTTGAAGAAAAATGTCGGTATTGACTGACCTTCATGACTTAAAGTAATGATGGACTGTCATTTCTCTTTGCTTATTTGAGCTGTTCTTGCCATAATTTGGACTTGGTCTTTTACCAAATAGGGCTATCTTATGTATACTCCCGCTACCTTGTCACAACACAACTGATTGGCTCAAACGCATTAAGAAGGAAAGAAATTCCACAAATTAACTTTTAAGAAGGCACACCTGTTAATTGAAATGCATTCCAGGTGACTACCTCATGAAGCTGGTTGAGAGAATGCCAAGAGTGTGCAAAGCTGTCATCAAGGCAAAGGGTGGCTATTTGAAGAATCTCAAATATAAGAGATATTTTGATTTGTTTAACACTTTTTTGGTTACTACATGATTCCATATGTGTTATTTCATAGTTTTGATGTCTTCACTATTATTCTAAAAAGTAGAAAGAAAAACCCTGGAATGAGTAGGTGTGTCCAAACTTTTGACTGGTACTGTATATCCTTTTTTTTTTGCTCAGAAAACTTGGGGGGCCAAATAAAACACCCGCAGGCCACCAGTTGAGGAACCCTGCCTTACAGGATCACCTCACTGTACACAGTATCTTTATTCTGATGTTGTGCATTTTAATACTGTATATGTAGTAAGATGATTCAATCAAAGTGCAAGATCAGGCACAACCAATTGACAGTTGAAGGTTTACAACTGTAGCTAGTAATGTTACTTCAAATTGCTATAGGGCAGTGATGTGGGCTGATATTTTGCTCTGATACTTTTCTTTACAGAAAGTAATAATTTCTCACCTGAGAACTGCAGAGAATTGCCAAGGCCCTGCGTATGGCTGATACTCGTCCACAGAGGTCAAATGACTGAAAGATAAACACATTACACAGTCAAGGCACTAGAATCGGGTGCATTCGTGCAGGGCTGGAACAAAAGCCTGCCTCGGACCAGATGGTTGACCACCTACAAGCTGGGAAAAAAAAGTGATTTAGTCAGCACCAATTGTGCAAGTTCTCCACTTAAAAAGATGAGGATTGACCAATGCGCGCCGAGTGTACATATGTCTTATTAATCGAAAAAGTCCAAAAGACCATCGTAATTCTATACTGAATTACGACAAACAGCAAAAAGAAACAAACCACAACACAAAGGAGAAAACACATTCGTAGATAGATTGGCTTTCAGATAACGAGCCGACAGATGACCTCGTTGCCTTATGGTGGTCTCGACCATCACCACAAAAAACAAATGAACTACCTCCCAACACCACCAATTTACCAACCGGAACACCCTGGCTCAATATAAAAGCCAGAGTTTCAGTAATTTTCACATAGGTCAATCAACTATTACAGACAAAATATCAGAAAATCACCATTGTGGATTTTTATGAATTATTGCAATTAATGGTGGACATAGTATTGGTCAATACAAAGTTTTTCTGTATACCTTTGTGGCAATGACACAGGTCAACGTTTTTTAGTCTTCACAAGTTCACACACTGTTGCTGGTATTTTGGCCCATTCTTCCATGCAGATCTCCTCTAGAGCAGTGATGCTTTGGGGCTCTCGCTGGGCAACACAGACTTTCAACTCCCTCCAAAGATTTTCTATGGGGTTGAGATCTGGAGACTGGCTAGGCCACTCCAGGACCTTGAAATGCTTCTTACGAAGCCACTCCTTCGTTGCCCGGGCGGTGGGTTTGGGATCATTGTCATGCTGAAAGACCCAGCCACGTTTCATCTTCAATGCCCTTGCTGATGGAAGGAGGTTTTCACTCAAAATCTCACGATACATGGCCCCATTCATTCTTTCCTTTACACGGATCAGTTGTCGTGGTCCCTTTGCAGAAAAACAGCCCCAAAGCATGATGTTTCCACCCCCATGCTTCACAGTAGGTATGGTGTTCTTTGGATGCAACTCAGCATTCTTTGTCCTCCAAACACGACGAGTTAAGTTTTTACCAAAAAGTTCAATTTTGGTTTCATCTGACCATATGACATTCTCCCAATCCTCTTCTGGATCATCCAAATGCACTCTAGCAAACTTCAGACGGGCCTGGACATGTACTGGCTTAAGCAGGGGGACACGTCTGGCACTGCAGGATTTGAGTCCCTGGCGGCGTAGTGTGTTACTGATGGTAGGCTATGTTACTTTGGTCCCAGCTCTCTGCAGGTCATTCACTAGGTCACCCTGTGTATTTCTGGGATTTTTGCTCACCGTTCTTGTGATCATTTTGACCCCATGGGGTGAGATCTTGCGTGGAGCCCCAGATCGAGGGAGATCATCAGTGGTCTTGTATGTCTTCCATTTCCTAATAATTGCTCCCACAGTTGATTTCTTAAAACCAAGCTGCTTACCTATTGCAGATTCAGTCTACCCAGCCTGGTGCAGGTCTACAATTTTGTTTCTGGTGTCCTTTGACAGCTCTTTGGTCTTGGCCATAGTGGAGTTTGGAGTGTGACTGTTTGAGGTTGTGGACAGGTGTCTTTTTATACTGATAACAAGTTCAAACAGGTGCCATTAATACAGGTAACGAGTGGAGGACAGAGGAGCCTCTTAAAGAAGAAGTTACAGGTCTGTGAGAGCCAGAAATCTTGCTTGTTTGTAGGTGACCAAATACTTATTTTCCACCATAATTTGCAAATAAATTCATTAAAAATCCTACAATGTGATTTTCTGGATTTTTTTCTCTCAATTTGTCTGTCATAGTTGACGTGTACCTATGATGAAAATTACAGGCCTCTCTCATCTTTTTAAGTGGGAGAACTTGCACAATTGGTGGCTGACTAAATACTTTTTTTTCCCCACTGTATAATATCCTGAAACATTACAAATTCTTCCCCGAATACAGATTCCTTTTATTATGATTCCCTTTCTGCTCGACTTAATGACTCAAAACCGCCCCCACTTTCTCTCATTTTCTATTCTTTAACCACTAGTGATGGGCAGTCCCATTTTGCAATAATCTGAGGACACACCACTGTGAACAGCTCTGACTCAATTTCTCCAAGTTCTCATGATCTCAATCCATAATACCTTGAAAGCTGTACACACCCATTTACTATGAATTTCTTGCACATACACACACAAATAAGTGGTTTAAAAAAATCTCTCAGATATAGGACAGACACTTCAGAACAAACTTCCTGTAGATTTTTGGGGGTGGACTATATGTTGTTCCATGTAGTTAATCTGTTGTTCAATGAGTTAAACAAAAGAATAGTTTTTGATACTTCAAGGGGTCTTAAAATTCCAAATCAAATGTGCTGCTCTTAACCCATAAGAGTCTAAGCCCCGCTCCCCGGCTTTGACAGACTCTTATGGGTTAAGAGCAGCACACTGTAAGAGCTTTAAAGCAGCACGCTCCAGCCTAAGCATGGCCCCTGGCCTGGGCTCCACAGGCCGCAGCTTCACAGCAGTACAGGCAATTTCCCCACACAGCTCAACCCTAGGCCTGGCCAACCTGCGGGGGCAGCCATCTTTTCTTTACGAGTCCTCCTCCTCGTTCTTCAGTGGGTGCCACAGGGAGAAAACAAGACTTCAAAATAAAGAGTTCCTCATGCTGCAGCAAAGTGAATTGGGAGGTGTGTGTGTCCAAACAGAAGGCTAAACACTAACAGGAAATTGATTCCCGTGGCACTGCGGCATCACAGTGTGTATAATGGATCTGTGGATATCACCTGACAGAGATTAATCACTCTGTGTTGTAGACCCTGTAGCAGAGAGACTGGGGGTGGGAGACCACCGCAAGCAGGCAATTCATCTTTCCTCATTGTCCCTTCCTGCCCCTAGTCCTGGCTACACACACACGACCACTTGATGTGTCAAACTAAAACTGGACTCCAGACAGAAACGTTGAGCCACAGCAGCAGTTCCAAAGCATTCTGTCTTGCTTCAGGTGGATGCATGGCTATTAGAAAATACATTTCCATGGAGTGGGAGTGCACCGACAGTGCCAAAAATGTAGCCAACGAGCTATGTTAAAATAACGGTAGAGCAAAGTAAATCAAATACATTTACAACCCACCACAGTATACAGTAAATCAATGCACAAGAGTCTGGCCTGTCTTTTTCTGTAGGCCTCCACTTGTGCCGACTTGCATGTTTGTGCTTGTGAGATCATTAAATCCTTCCCTAGATGGAAGCAAAAGCAAAAGCACGAAGCTGGCTGATGTGTGGCCATGACTTCATCGGCTGAAAGTGGGCCACTTGGGCCTGTTTCAGGACAAGGTTTGGTTGGGGCAGAGGGTGGTGGGTGAGGTGGGGGTTGGTTTAGTGATAGCGTGGCGCGGGTATCCCCAGCAGCCGAGGAGGAGTGGGAGCACACACAGCAGTAATGGTTCAGCTCCAGGGAGGGATGACCTCACCTATGCACTCCCCCAGGGAGAAATGAGCTCAGTGGCAGCAGCCTCACTCTCTGATTGGCCTGTTTATCAGCCGAGTCAAAAGGCACTCTGTGACCCCCACAGGCAAAACCTCCACGCAGATAGAACACCAAAAGATAGACAGACAATGACAAACACACACTCTTTCTGTGACCACAACATGTTATAAACAACACTTCCACGTGGCTAAGACACCAAGATAAACACACGCACATACACATACACACGCTCCCACATTGTGACCCCCAGTGAAACTTTAATGAATATAAAACACACACAAGCTGTGACCCTCTGGACATCAGACAAGCCTTCATTAATATAAAACACACTAACACAGGCTCTTACTATGGATTTGAAGGCCCGGAGGATCTTGGGAAGAAACAGGGTGAAGCATTTCAGGCTGATGGTGAAGTACTTCAGAACAAAGTCAGTGATCCCCACCGCCCAGATCAAAGAAGTCAAAGCTGTTGATGTTGGGCTTTGCAAACATCAGGCTGAGGTGGGAAAAAAACAGCAGAGATGAGACATGAGACTTCAGTTTTGTAACGGTTGAGGTTTGATCACGGATAGACATGATACATTATGTCCAATCTCTATTGGTTACAAGGGACATTTTCATTGATCAACAGAAGATGGAGTAACAAAAATTAACAACGTAACTCAAATTTCATTTAAAAAAACTAAATGTGATAACAGGTGAAATGATAAATAAACACAAAATCAATACTCACAGGACACGTAGTCACATGGTAACATATGCCTAAAGACAATGAAAATCATATTAGAACATAAAGGACAGAATAAATTCCCACACACATGCTGTGTGTTAACCAATAGGCCTAAACATTAAAGTGGTTGACAATGTAACATTTTTATAGTGCATTACCATATGAAGATACAACCAAAGAAACATGGTTTAACCTGTTGTACAACTCCTCAGCACTGAATGTGTAGTAGAGATACACTCTGTTTCCAGATAGGAGCATGATCATCCACAGAGCTACAACCACAGACCTCTCCTCCTGATATGCAGACAGACAAATAGTAAATAATCAAATGCTTTACTAATCACTAATGTACGTATATTCTCACGAGCTGAGCCAGAACCAATTCCCAAGCTAGCTATTTACGTAGACTCTTTAACACTCAGGGAATATGCTCAAATGTTTATAAATGTATAAACCTTATGGTCTCAGATCAAAGTTGTATAAAATGCGAGGATCCAAATGTTCCTTATTCCACTTATTCCACAAAACAACCAACTCCATTACTATACAATTACAAAGCAACTACTAAAGTATTGGGCCAAGAAGATGGTATAGTATGAAAACTCTGTCACTAGGCAACAAAAACATTTTACTCAGAGTAGTAATTAGTGTTACTACATAGGTATAAGAGCCACTTTTGTTTATTTGTAATCTAAAACCAGTCTTACCCAGCTTGTGCTGAAAACACACTTTAGGCAGCAGGATCAGGAGGAATGGGAACCCCCTCTGCAGCCAGGTGACTACAGACTTAAGCTCTGATAGGGCTGGTGCTCTGTAGCTCAATTGGTAGAGCATGGCGCTTGTAACGCCAGGGTAGTGGGTTCGATCCCCGGGACCACCCATACGTAAAAATGTATGCACACATGACTGTAAGTCGCTTTGGAAAAAAGCGTCTGCTAAATGGCATATTATTATTATAGAGTAGAGGGGTCCTCCGAGGCCACCTTCCTGTTCCCATGCCTCTCTCCGGCCCCAGCAGCCGAGTGCAGGAGGGAGGTACGGTGCTGGAGTGGCTGGTGGTTATTGATGTTGCGAGGGCATGTGGGGGAGGTAGGGCCCACCTTCAGTGTGGTGTGGCCCCCTTTCCTCCCTGGAGGAGGCGGTCATCTGGATGAAGACATCTGGTGGAGTCCTCAGAACCAGGCCAGCCGCCTGGAAGTTAGCTGAGGGCACGCCTGACCCAGAGGGAACCCCGACCCCAACCAGGCCGGAGAAGAGCTGCTGGGGGAGGTGGGCGAGTCAGGCTTCAGGCAGTTAAACACGCCTCCTTTGTCCAGGCTGCTTTTTTATGACCCAGAGTTTGGCTACGGTTCCTGGAGAGCAGAGAGAGGCTACATATTTTGACGGTTCAAAGACAGTTGTCTATAGTCTATTTCTTGCATTGCCTTTCAATTAATTTGGTTCCTGAAGTTAACATGTTTTATCTACCTACATATTGAATCCTCTTTAGTGCCAAATTTCAGGTTATGATGAACCTGCAGAGAGGCCTGTGTCCTAGAATGTGGACTCGAACCTTTCTGAGGGCATGCCATCGGTGTTCCTGCTGTGCCTCCTCTGCATGGCACACCCAGTTCATCCCCATGTGATCCAGGTCTGTGGTGGGGTGCAGACAGGCACACAGATGGCAACGAGTGAATACGGTAAAAAGCAGCAGGGGGAGTATCGATGGTTGGCTAGCCTTTTATTGAGACATTATAGCTAGCCGCAGATATATTAGATAGATTGTGGCACTGGCACCATCACAACACCATTTACATTTACAGTACAATGAATTAAATGTATCATTAATTAATTCAAATACCGATTCATTTAATGTAAAATACATATATAATTATTTCACTATTTACATTTACATTTCATGATCCTGCATTGCAGTGATTCATGAATTACTTAAAACTGTCAAACTGACCCATCAAAGTCAGTGGGCGGGGCTAACGCGAATCTAGTCTGATCCATTGCTTTGGTCTGAAGTAGAGTAGGCCAACCTGGATAGAGACAATGGAGGATCTCCGTGAACTTTCCAGGGAGTTGGTTAGAGACATTTTAAACTTAGCAGAGGATGTAGAAGCAGGACCTGCTGACATTATCCGGAATTGATTTGTCTTGGCTTGATGCAGAGGGTAACCAATCAGGCGTTAGGTTCCGCCTACCAACTTTTGATGGGTCAGTTTGACAGTTTTAAGTAATTCAGGAAGCACTCCAACGCAGGACCATGAAATGTAAATGTAAATAGTGAAATTATTATATATGTATTTTACATAAATGAATCGACCTGAATCATCGTTTTGTTTATAATTCTCATTCCCTTGTCGCACACACACCAGCGGCTACCTGGCTCTCAACGATGTTTTTCTCTGTATGACGTCAGTGAAATTGTTAATCGACCAACCAGCGTTCACTTTCCCACCACACCACATCCGTGTTTAGAAATTGTTTTGATGGTGGACGTCAGAGTTCATGGGACAAAAACGTTTGTTTATTTCAGAGGCTTTCTCTGTCATTTCTCTGAAGTGAATGTCAGAAAGAGATGTTATTTGTCAGAAACAGGTGTCTTGTAGAGTTATAGCCAACTAGCTATGAATCTCACTGCAGGTAACTAACGTTAGCTAGCTAATGCTAACTCTAGCAGCTGGATGAGTACAGTAGCTAGCTAGCCTAGTGTCGTTAGCTTGTTCACAGGCTAACAAAGCAGTCTTTATCCAAAACGGCTAGCTAATATTTACTTTGTAGCTAGCTACCTAGCACTACGGAAATCGTTGTTGTTTTTTTTTTTTTACAGCGCATGTATTCACAGCTACCTAAGTAGCTACCACAGTTTCTAGCCTAGCATTGCTAACGTTAGCTAGCTAGCCAGCAAAATTGGTTAGTTTGCGGTTATGGTGTTGACCAAACAGTTACTCTGTCATAGCCAGACACCCCAGTTGAACTGCAAGTCTCTACTGAACAGTTTATCCACCTTGCTAGTTATAGTATCATTCCTGCAATTCAATTCCTCTGGCTGGACTGGGTGGTCGCAGGGATCTCCTAAGAAGGTCATGCCATGGTGCTACGAAGATTACTGAGAAAACGTTGGGTGCTAGGTGTGGTGTTTGGACTGTCTTTGATCTACTTCTTAACCAGTACCCTGAAACAGGTATTTAAACTCTTGACATCTCAGATTTATGTCTAGCTCAAAGAACTGGAAAACAGATATTCTCATTGTCTGTATAGGCCTACGTTACCCTAGACAGAGAGTCTATGAGGTCCAGCTCTGGGCTAGTTTGTCAAATCACATTTGATTGTCTGTTGTGCTGCAAGGGCTTGCCTTTTGGCTATACAAGATGTGTGTGTGAGATGAATTGTGTTGTGTTATGCAGGAGGAGAGAACCATACGGGATCGCACCCTGTTGGAGGCCAGGGATCCGGACCACCGGATCCCATGGAAGGTCAGGTTTAACCTGGGCAACAGTAGCAGGCCGATCACTCAGTGCCGGAACTCCATTCAAGGCAAGACACTGCTCACAGATGAACTGGGTAAGTTATAAACCTAACTGGACTCATTCACTCACTTGTAATCCCTTAGGAAATAATGGATTTATCTCAATCAGTATTTCCACGATTCCTTACATCCTATCATTGGTTATTATCATTGAGTTATTATTAAAGACCACTTCAATATTCAAGTCACTGACTAATCCATTGTATGTGAATGTCCCCCAGGTTATGTGTGTGAGAGGAAGGATCTGCTGGTGAATGGTTGCTGTAATGTCAACGCTCTGAGCTCCAGACAGTACATCTGTAAAAGTTGTCTGGCCAACGGCTGCTGTAACATCTACGAGTACTGTGTGTCCTGCTGCCTCCAGCCTGATAAGGTATTCAAACTGTGGCACTCTTGTTGTGCTGCACACAATAGCAAAATAGTTTGTTCCAAATGAGAATTTGCTACTTTTGTATGCACATCTGTTGGATGCATGACTTTTCAGTCAATGGTATCAGATCTCTATCTTACCTTTGACTCTTAAACTCTACATTGTTTTCATCTTAACCTTTTGCAGTGGTTGAGTTATATCTAATCCATGTGAGAAATACCAGATTTAGATCTTTACACCTCTCTCTCTCTGATGTTCTCTTCACCCCACTCTCCCTCTCTCTCTGATGTTCTCTCTACCCCCCCCCCCCACTTTCCCCCTCTCTCCCTCATTCTCCCTCTCTCTCTCAGCAACCTCTACTAGAGCATTTCCTGAACAGAGCTGCAGACGGCTTCCAGAACCTCTTCACGGCTGTGGAGGACCACTTTGAGCTGTGTTTAGCCAAGTGTCGGACTTCATCGCAGGTAGGTTGAGTTGTGTACATGAAACAAACACATACCTCCCTGACCTTACCCAAATGCTTTCATGCAGAGATGGCAAGAAAAACATTCTAATGGTTGTGTTTACCCTCTCATTTTGATCATGCAGAGTGTCCAACATGAAAATACCTACAGAAATCCACAAGCGAAATACTGTTATGGAGAAAGTCCACCTGAACTCCTGCCTATATGATTGTTTGATCCTCTGGGACCTACGAGACTGTAAAGAAACTAATAACAGTCCAACTAAGAGCCAAGAGAGACACCTTGATGCTCCTTGAGAAGACAGGCTTCATCTTGTGTCCACACACCGGCCTTGAACAGTCTGATACCATACGTTGCCACCAAGAACACCAGAGCCATATACTGTATAGAGGGAGTTTGGCCAACTTTGACTGACAATAACGGACACCATTACCTTTCGATGTAATAATGTGAGTAATCGTCTACATATGTCTCGGAATAACACTATTGTAACCTCACAACTATGGACAAATACTGTATGTGATTTTGCTATATTATTTACACTTCATAAGTGCATAGCTTCATAACTTCATCATTGATGATCATCAGGTCTCATTCACTCACCAGTTGGGATTCGCCTCATGCGGCCATTGTTCCACATCATGGTCGTGTTCATTAGGGCATTCAACTGAAAGTGTTTAAAAACGTTTCGCAACAGAACTAAAATGTGGGTGTCTTATTGGTTAAGTCCCTCCCTGTTTAAGTTGTTTAACATTAAACCCATGTTATTAGGGTTTTTATTTCAAGCCTGATCAATGTACTTAAGGATGATATTAGTTAAGTCTTCAATGTTGAAAAACAAACTACAAAGAATGTGTCAGCACTTGTGTGTAGTCGTGCATGCATATTGTCTAATGGCTATTTAATAATGTGACTGAAAGTAATCAGCTCATGGTTTACGTTGCGTTGTTCAGACCTTTTCAGAATAATTATCAGTATTGAATTTTGTAAAGAAATTGTATCTATTTTACACTATGAAAGGATTCTATATTATGATGACTAAAGACCCTATAGTTTATCCGGGGTCAGAGCGCTGTATCAACATGTAGAATTGGCTATTGTTACCTATCATTTTGACATGGGTTTGACAGCTTGATCTGCTTTACCATGCTCTGTCCACCTGCCTATGCTATACTTGCCTGGCTACGCAAAGTCCTTGCTCCAGCCAAATGCTACGCCACGCCCATGGAAGTTCTTCTCTGCAGTGAGTCTGGATCTGATCTGAGTACCCCCCCCCCCCCCCCCCCCCCCCCCGACGATTTCTAGAATGAAACGCATTCTAACCGTTCGGATTGGTCCCAGAAACCAATAGTTTGGACCATAGCCAGAACACATGGGTAAAGCAGCGTTTTTCATATTCTGCTGATTGGTAGAGATGAGCCAATAGCTGATGACTTTGTTTTGTACAACACCCCTGATTTTTACATCACCACAAACGACTTCAAGGATGGCAGTCTTAGTCTGAAGTATTTAGCAAGCATAGAGCAGTGGAAGAATTCAGTTTGAGTCTTCAGGCAAGTGAAATACACCCTGGAATACAATGATTGGACACCAGGGGCCTCATGTTTAAATATTGCATAGAAACTATTCTAAAATTGGCCAACATGCAATCACTGGAGAATAAACTGGATGATCTCCTTTCGAGACTATCCTACCAACGGGACATTAAAAACTGATGTTTTAGAGAAATGTAATCGAATATTGTAAGAGCTTTCATTGTCTGCTTATATGCCCCCTTTATTTATCCTACGGTTCTGACTTGGTGTACAGGGAGAATACTGTAAGAACGGCCTATGTTCTGAGTTCTGTCGCTGTACATTTCAAGTGCTGAACAAATAGTTATATTGACTACGTCCGTCCTAGCACGCTCATTAATGTCTTAATCGAAATTACGGATTGCCTCTTATCTGCTCATCGTTCCCTTATGCCATAGTTTGTACATCTCAATTGTGAGTAGAAACCACATTTGTTTAAGCAAGTCAGCCATATCAGCTATGTTTTTTAAAAAGGCAGTAAATTAGGCTGAATTAACTGTTTCGCTGCCAGACAAGGCTCCGCAGATAGCTAGGTGTAGAAGTGGTAAGGATTCACTCCATTGTGCTGAAAAGAAAGCTCTGCTGTTGGGACAGCTTTATGTAGGCCCTAACAGTTTGTGGGCACTGTTTGTCACCGTTATAGTACAATTAATGTATTGTTTAGTGTTGTGTTGTGTAGAGGCTTTGCTGGCATGCATCAACAACAAAATAATGGGGAGTTTGTCCCATCAAGATTTACATGCTAAAATCGCCACTGTCCCTATCCACCCTCGGGTTTTTGGCAATGGGCAAATTTCTGCGGGAGCTTGCTGATCGGCATCTCGGAGCCCTTGATGAGCCAATGTTTTGGATGCAATAATCAGCAAAACAAACAGTAACATACAATTTCCATACACCATCGCACAACAGGCAAGAGTCACTCATTCGAAATATATATGCCATTGGTAAAGCAACTTGAATTGTCCTAATGGTCCTCTCTTTGTAGCTATGTTTTTATTTTTACTGGTTAAGCCACAACTGAGCGAGCGAAATAAAACATTTTGGTTGAACTCAATCTCTGACATTAGCACCTCTATTTCAGTCTCATTAGCTTTTTTTCTTAGCTTGTTTTGTTTGTGCCGTTGTATTTCATGGGACACCGTTGTATATTCCCCACGTGTTAAAGGGATGATTTTGACCATATATGGTTAATTAGGGGAGTTTCGAAATGCAAACAGCCAAGGTCGCTCACGAGCACTGAGGCTTTGAGAACAATATTGGTATTTATCTATGGTTATCTCCTACCAGTGTGTGTATGACGATTGTTTGATAAATCACACTTTTTCTATGCTTACAAACATTCTAAATTCCATTCATAATTAGTCTTTTCAAATCTTTTTTTTTTTTTTTAATGGTCACATGCGCCGAATACTACAGGTATAGACCTTACCATGTAATGCTTACCTACAAGCCCTTAACCAACAATGCAGTTCAAGAAATAGAGTTAAGAAAATATTTACTAAATAAACTAAAGTAAGAAATTAAATAACAATTAACACAAAATAACGAGGCTATATACAGGGGGTACCGGTACCAAGACAATGTGCGGGGGTACAGGTTAGTCAAGGTAATTCGTACATGTAGGTAGGGGTAAAGTGACTATGCATAGACGATAAACAGCGAGTGGGGGTGTCCATGTAAATAGTCCGGGTGGCCATTTGATTAATTGTTCAGCAGTCTTATGGCTTGGGGGTAGAAGCTGTTAAGGAGCCTTTTGGACCTAGACTTGGTGCTCTGGTACCGCTTGCCGTGCGGTAGCAGAGAGAACAGTCTATGACTTGGGTGACTGGAGTCTTTGACAATTTTTTGGGCCTTCCTCTGACACCACCTAGTATATAGGTCCTGGATGGCAGGAAGCTTGGCCCCAGTGATGTACTGGGCTGTACGCACTACCCTCTGTAGCGCCTTACGGTCGGATGCCGAGCAGTTGCCATACCAGGTGGTGATGCAACCGGTCAGGATGCTCTCGATGGTGCAGCTGTAGAACTTTTTGAGAATTATTTGCAAACTGATATGTGACACATATTAATGCCAGAATAACATGCAAAACAGGCAACAAATATATATATATATAATATATATAAACTATTTTTTTGCTAAACAGGTGGGGCTGAAACCCCCTGCTCTGAATGACATATCGCCACTGGATAGGGATATGGATATGCACTGGAATGGCATGTGTTTGACTTTTTAAAGTAGGTCTGAAATATTCACAAAAATCCTATAAGATTGGTTTTGGGAAATTATATCTGATGAGCCAATCTGTACTTTCTGCAGAAAAAGTCCCACCTGTCTCTAAAAACACCTCTCCGTGAAATGCAGTGTGTGCCAAATATTCCAACAGAGCAAGATCAGCCATCTCTCATTCCATTTCCCATTATATGTCTTTTATAGTATTTTAACAATGGTTTCACTTTCACACTTGACTGTACTTTATATGGATTATTATCATAACAAATGCACTGATGTGGTCAAATTATACAGCATGTCAACATATGCAACATATGATCTCAATGGAAATACAATGACATCGAAAAATGATTGAATTATTACTCTCACATTTTCAACATATACAAAAATATGAACGCAACATGTAAAGTGTTGAACCCATGTTTCAGAGCTGAAATAAAAGATCCCAGAAATGTTCCACATGCACAAAACGCTTATTTCTCTCAAATGTGTTGCACAAATTTGTTTACATCCCTTTTAGTGAGCATTTCTCCTTTGCCAAGATAATCAAACCCCCCTGACAGGTGTGGCATATCAGAAAGCTGATTAAATAGTATGATCATTACACAGGTGCAACTTTTGTTGGGGAAAATAAAAGTTTTGTCACACAACACAATGCCACAGATCAAGTTTTGAGGGAGCGTGCAATTGGCATGCTGACTGCAGGAATGTCCACCAGAGCTGTTACCAGAGAATTTAATGTTAATTTCTCTACCAGTACGTCCAACCGGCCTCACAACCGCAGACCATGTGTAACCACCCCAGCCCCGGACCTCCACATCTGCCTTCTTCACCTATGGGATCGTCTGAGACCACCCACCCGGACAGCTGATGAAACTGAGGAGTATTTCTGTCTGTAATAAAGCCCATTTGTGGGAAAAACTAATTCTGATTGGCTGGGCCTGGCTCCCAAGTGGGTGAGCCTATGCCCTCTGGGACCTACCCATTGCTGTGCCCCTGCACAGGCATTTGAAATCCGTAAATGTAAAAGTTCATATTGATCAATCTCACACTTTGCGTGGAAATGATCCCACACATGGTTTACGCAAAGATTTGTGCCTACACATGATTGATAAAATAAGGTCACTGGGGTGTATTCATTCTGCCGATTTTGTTGCAAAATGTTTCTTAAACGGAAGCAAACAGAACGAAACAGGGCGGGACTTACCCGATTTTGTCCAATAGAAACTCTAGTTTTAGTCCAAACAGTTGCAGAATCGGTGGAATGAAAACACCCCAGTTAGGCTAGTCTCACACTCAAATTGCATCTTATTACCTACATAGTGCACTACTTTTGACCAGGGTCCTATGGGCTCTGGTCAAAAGTAGTGCACTGTGTAGGGTACTGGTATATAGGGTGCCATTTGGGATGCACTGTAGCCCTATACAGATTATACCTCTCCATGCCTTTCCC